TCTGCTGTTGATATTCGGTGAACACCCGCCCGTTGCAACAAGGTGCACCCGTGATTGCACTCCACCCGTGGGTAAGCAGGTATACTCACAGGTGCGGGTCTCGACTGCCGGATGTCAGTCACTGCAGAGGAGTACTCGGTGGAGAAGATAGCGCATAGAGTAATGGAAGGCATATCTATAGAGACCACTGCGCAGTAGTCGGTGGCGTGATCTTGGACTTCCATGGGAACGGGCGAAGATCCTTCAGCAGAAGAGATTCAATCGGGAGGAATCAATGCTGCGGACATGTTGTGTGAACAAGTGATACATCTTCTTCAGTATCTCGAGAACAAGCTTGAGAAGTATGTAGGTACCACCAATGTCGGATCTTGCGTGGAGTTAATGCGTAGTATGACGCGAGTGAAGGTGGCAACGGCTCACATAGTAGAAGAGAATGACAGGCAGCTACGGGAGATAGAGACGAAATACAAGGTACTTCGGAGAAGATTGGCCGGAGAGGTGGAGTTGCGGAAGTCTTTTTTTTTAGACTTATAAGAGTCTTGGGGTTGACATTGATGTCACCAGATGTGCGACAGTCGATCTTCGGGAGAGACTAGAGGCGTCTCAGGTAGCTTGCAACGAGGAGTCGCGAAGAGTAGACGAGCTGACTACGGATTTGGAGAAGAAGGATCAAGCGCATGCAGTAGAGGTGGCAGAGAAGGTGAATGCTCTCAAGAAGTGTGAGGCTACTAGGATCTTGGACCAGGAGGTGATAGAGAGATTGGAGGCCAAGTGCAATGAGATGAGATGTCAGCGATCGTCGGCCAAGGAGAAGCTATGCGAGATGGAGGCAAAACTATCGGAGGCGGAGGAGAAGAATATGCAGTTAGTGACGCAGACAAACGACGCCTTGATAAAGAAGGTGAATTGGTGTCAGCGTGGATTTGTATTATGGCAGATCGAGACACAAAAATGGTTGGAGTTACGAGATCTGGAGCGTCGCGCGACCGCAATGATAGTGTGTAGTGTTAGTGGGCAACGTCAATTAGCTATGAAGTTAGATGCGTTTCTAACCAGTTCGTGTGAGGCAATGGCGAATTTGGAGTTGAAGCTGACGGACATTTTGCGTAGGTTAGGTTTAGATCAAAAGTCGGATAGCACGGCAACTGCCGACTCTGCGGGCGGTATGCTTGTTTGGAGCTCGCATTAGAGTGAGTGACATCTTAGTGTCAGTTAGGAATTAAGGAGCTCAAGGCTTCGGCATCGAAGGATTCTCGATAGTTAGTTTTCTGAGTTTTGAGCCTGTATTCTCCGCGCGTATGTGTACTGAGAGTTTTGTCACCATATGAGAGGTACTTCGGTTTGTCGAAGATACCGCATCCAAGTTAGTAGTCCAATTCGGATGTTCTGAATAGCAATTGGCTAGATCAGGATTTAAGCAAATTCGTAATTTGAAACTTCGTGCAGTTTTCCAATGTATCTTTTAGGAATTTTCTCCCCTGAATACTAAGACAGGTTTGCGATCGACCTTTGTGATGCTGGATTGTAGAATTTTAGGATTGTTGTGTGATTTACATTGCATTGTGACTCCTTCGGACTTAGCACCTACAATATTTATGGGAGTCACAGCTGCTAGAGAATTCAAACTCCTCAATAGACAGTTAAATATGTGACATTTGTTGCTCTTTGTGTTGTTTCTGTTTTCGTGGGATCATATCTTTACCATTGTACTGCATTTTGGTATTTATATGTCATGACAAGAATCCATTTCATAGCTTTTCAATTCAACTTTTCTAGATTTGACTTGTACTTGCTCATTTTATTTATTGTAACAACAATGTCAAATGTTGTGCATATCATTAAATACAGGAGGTTACTCTCAGTTTTGTCATAGAAAATTGATGACATCCTTTACTTTTCAATGGTATTGATTAGACATTCAGTTGCGTAAAATTCAAATTGTTATGCAAAATGAGTATATTCTCTTTTAAAATCAGTCATGTTAAATCTATCAAACACACGTTGAATGTAGTTGACTTGATTCAATCACACACTCTTATTTTTCAAATTCATATGAATATTCATCTCTAATATATTCGTGGAATTTTCCAAATCTTTGATTGAAAATGCAGACTTCAATTGAATCTTAGATTTGTCTAATTCACCTTGATAATTTGTCAAGATGAACATGTTATTTACATAAATAATAGAATAATAAAATTGAAGATCTTAGTATTCACCTTCTTTATATATGCACAAGTATCATACACAATTGGTACATAATCTTGTATTTTCATAAAATCTCGCATTTTATTGTTTAGTAGCTTGCTTCGATCCATGTAAAGATCTCAACAATTTACAAAATTTGGTTTTCTTGAAAAAAAAAATTTAGCCATCTTGAGTTCGTTAGAACTAAACTAGAGTTCACTCAAAATGAAATTATAGTTATCTTATAGTACTATTCATAAATATTTGATAGTTAGAGAGTAAGTATATTAATTAATCCCCTCAAATAAGTGATCAGTGTGTTTGTTAGGTAAAAATAAAGTGTATTAATTTACATTGTCATATCAGCAATATGTGTGTTTGTTAAAATTATTAATCTTGTCATCAATCGATTAAAAATGGAAGAACGTATAGTGATTAGATCTTAATTACTTGTACTTGTTGATAAGATCTATAAAAAAATTTAATAGAATCATTGTTGGTATCTTTCAAATTTAGAAAAACGTTACAACTTTTAGTTAGTTTTTTTCTCTTGATATTTAGTGTTGTAAAAGCCAACTTGTTGTTATTGGTAACTTTTATACTAAAAAGTTCATAGAAAAATGCAGAAACTACATACATTTGATCCAAAACAAAACTAAATTAAAAAAAATGCAAATATTCACTAAATTGTGTCATATTTTGCTAGAAGTGAAATTTTTTGGTTATAATGTATAATTTTTCTTGTGTGAAAATTCTAAACATCAACTTGACTTTGAAGATACTAAATCCATTATCAACTCAATTATATTTTGACTTGTATATACATTTGCAATCAATCAAAGCTTGATTCTTTAGGAATTTCACTAGCTTCAAAATCTTGTTATACATCAGCAACTTCATCTCAAGTTTCATTGCAGCAAGTTCAACACAATGTCATTATCATTTTGCATATCAAGGTGGAGGCTTTCAAAAATGAATGAATCACTGGATACCTTACAATAGTTTTTCTAATGCAATTTGATGATTGAATTGATCTTTATCTACTGGTGCAGATATTTCATGCTCATCAACTATATATGCTTCTTTTATATTTGATCTTCATGACTTTGTTGTATCTCTACTAGAAATTTTCTTTATGACACATCATTAATCATCAATTTTTTCCTCAACAACATCCCTGAATGAAGATTTTCTTGATCAATATGAAGACTCTAAGAATTCTTCTTTTTTAAATATCTAAACTAATTGATAGAAATATTTTATAATATTTTTATGACTAAATTAATTTTAAAATTATTATTTAAAATTATCACATTCATCAATGAAGAAAAAAAAATTTCATTCAAAATCTTGAAGTGATAACCAAAATAGCTTTTATGTGAATACATTTTAGTGTTGTATCTTTGTGCACTAGCTCACTTACTTCAATTTTAGCGAACTCACATAGTAAGTCATATTGAGTGAAAATGGATGACTTTTTTGTTGTTGTTCAAATAATTTTTTTGAAATTTTTTTAATAATATAAGACGTATTGGTTAGAATGAAATATTGTAGCAACTTTTTAGTTGAATTTTGAACTTGCAAAATTTCTTATTCTTTGAACAACATCTTTATCAGCACAAATTTTGATTGATAGATAGCACCACACCTTAGGTTATAAATTGGGAATTTGAGTTATTTAGGTTGTTCATAGATGGATATTTAATATGATAGTTACAATGTCTCATGTATATTTAGTTTTTAGAAAAATTTATGTAGGATGATAAAGACTTGGTCAGAACCAGGTCTACTTTTGTATGATATTTTCATCGATAACAATATGTTCACGGATGGAAAAGGAACATATTGTTACTATATTATCAACATGACTTTTGTTAAGAAGAAATATTTGTTTTCTAATCTGTCGGTGCAATTCAACAAGGAGATCTCTTGGAAGTTGCTTCATTTGACATGTCTCAATATAAATCTATCAAGTCTGCTAGTTTGTCCATACCAAGTTGTGAGCTCCACTGTTTTGAAACACGCATCTTGCATACTTTTACTTCATTAGACGTGAGTTTCACAACTTGATAACCAAGCTCTATCTTGTGCATCTGCGTATGAAGTATCAAAGCGCAAGACTCGGATTCATCAGGGCATCGCCTTGCGTTGGCAACTTGTAGATCGATGTACGACATCCACCGACAAGACGAAGAAGCGTTAAATGAAAAAGAACTGCTACACCCCGAACCATGTCACATAAAATAGACGCCAACAGAAGCACTAACAGCCCCACCCCACGACGGCGAAAGGAATCGACATAAAAACAAGCACGGAATCAAACCAACCTCCCCAAGAAAAAAATAAAAAATCAAATCATCCTCTGGACCAGAAATACTCGAGAGGATATTCCTCCTTTTCTATCGTGACAAAGGATAATGATTTCCAGGACGTATCAAATGTATTCACGGGGCTCACTAAAGAAAGAAAACAGCATTTCCAATTTCATAAACAAATATTTTATTTTGGATGAAAAAATCCTGGTCCGCGCAAGTTTTACTTTATTACAGATTTTTTTTTGTTTTTGTCTTTTTGTAAAATAAGCTTTTTAGTAACAGCACAAAGGGCTTTACGAACTTATGGGAGAAGTATTAAGGATAACTTCCAGAGAAGGAGCAGTCGCTGAGTGTGTACCGAACGGGGACGGTGGTCGGGACCGAGGGGGAGGGAAGCGACGGTATAAACGGGACTTGGCGGGCCGGGGAGGGTCTATGGAGAAGGGGAGGGAGCGAGGGGGAAGGAAGGGGGATAGAGAAAGAGAGAGGGGGAGAGAGGGGCCGGCGGTCGAAGGAGAGGTGAGGTGAGGGGAGGGGAGGGGAGGAGGGGCTTCAAAGGGGTTCTAATGGCCGCGCTCCGCTGCTGCAGCTGCTGCCGCTGGGGGAGGATGATGAGGATGGAAAGCGAGGGGGGCCGAAGGAAAGCGCAGCAGTGTTGTTGGCACGACAGATGTAGCGTGGCGCAGGCTGCTGCTGCAGCAGCTTAGAAAGTAGTGCCTCGAGCAGCTCGACCAGAAAGGGAAGGACGACGGAAGGACGAAGCGAGAGAGAGAGACAAGAGAGAGGGAAGAGGGACGAGGAGTTCGCGGGCGAGTGTAGCTCGTAGTGCCCGGGGCTTCGGGAGGGAGGGAGGGAGGGCAGGGCAAGGGAGCAGACCGCAGTGTGCACTTTGCGAGGGGGCTGCGAGAAGTGGAGTTGAGTTGCGTGGGGTGGGGTGGGGAGGCGAGGCGGGAGCATCCATCCATAAATCCGGCCGAGTGGTGGTGCATCAAAACGATCTGGATGCGATCTGTCACCGGGGTGGGCGGCAGACAGTATAGATTGTGAGCCGAGGAACAACCACGATGGTGAGTTTCGTTCGGGCTGGAGGATTGGTTCTAGTTGTCGGTCGTGTACGCGGATTATGTCAATCTTCGCCGGGCCGCAATGTGGTTGCGAGTTTTCTTTCAATTGATGTTCCCGAGAGGCCCATCCCGAAGACGGAACGAGTGATCGGTCTAGTCTTAAGCATGTCTTTTATCCTTCCGCCTGAAATCAGCTGGCGGACGTATCTGTTGCGTCGTCGTGTGCGCGGGAAGTGAGTGGATTAAAGCTCGAAGGGTTGTTTTGCCCTTGTCCGAACACAAATCCGGATTGCCTTTTTCTTTGGAAGTTTCCTGTCCGAGTCTCCACATTTGCATGCAGCGAGTTAGATCTGAGGCGACCTTAGGGTTTGATCTGAGAGTGAGCCATATCAGCCATCAGTGTTTCTGCTCGTTAACTGGCTCGTCTCCTGCACTGTCTAATTGAGATGTTTAGCTTAAGTGGACCACTTTGTCATTTTTCGAAGTGTCGAGAGACTTCTTTGTTCTCCTCGAACACCGGCCGAGTTTCATGTGTGGTTCCTGGTCCAATTACTCTCTTCCGAGAACTGTGGGAGGTATCGACATGGGAACTCACTGTGTGAACCTTGACATTTTTTAATGTCACTAATATGTTACTATCTTTTTGGAATTCCACGTTATTCTTGCTGCAAATTGCGATCACGAGGCGTCCATAACATTTAAGTTTTAACACCTATTTCAATGACGTTGTCTTCTCATACGTTTTTCTGGGTGCTTCTGCAGAACTTTTTGATTGGTGCATTCAAACCACCATGTACTGTCTCAGTAGAATTCAAAGATGCAGAGACTCGACCAGAGGCAAGTGATATTTCCTCCTTAGTTTTTGTTCCGGTCCTATCTACTTGTAGTTTCTGCCTGGGAGTCAGTTGACTTGACCTGTTCGCGTTTGCTAGATCTCGACCTCGTTATTAGGCTGTAACTATCAAATCAGTAACTTGAGAACGTCTAAGATCGCAGCTCGAGGAAGGTCCTGTGACAGGATCATGGAAGTCGACGGCAGTAACTGTCTTGGAAAAGAAATTTTGCGCTGTCAATCTGTGCGTTTTTTGGGATCTTCGTGCTCCATGGTTGTAACCATTACGTGAACCAAACCGTTGAGATCTAAGTAAATTATATAAAGCTATGCAACCTTGGAAAGAAGTTATCTACAAGTTTTCCTCGAACACTAAAATTCAGGAGCATGCAGTATCTTCTTACCAAAGATCATTGCACGATTCCTCAACCTTCAACTTCAAAGCCATAATGGAGAGATGACAGGGTGCAATGCAAGACAGAACTTGTATAGACTGTTTTCTTACAGTTCCTTCCCTCTGCTTCGATAAGGTTCATGGCAGCAACTTTTGGCTTCCTGCGAAGCATAGTTGCAGTAGTAGGCTTAGTGCAATTGTTTTTCTGAGCACCAAATGCAGTGATCCATTTCAGTCGCCGTAGCCTGTGTTTATCACAGTCAATTGACTTTCGCTGTCAACTACGGCAGTTCGCGGCTTCCTTTGTCATTCATTTTTATAAATAGTTGTATCTGACGTACGACTTATCGTTAAGCCACAATGGTTGGAACGTCGCTCCTGAATAAGAAAGCCGTACGTGTTTGACTAACTCGATCGAGCTAGAGTTCAGTTCCTTGGTTCCGTTTTGGTAAATTTTTTTTGCCTCCTTTGATTATCTGATGATCATAAGTTGCACCGTTTGTTTATTCAGGCAAATATCAAGAAGGAAAATGGACAAATGGCACCTGTGCCGTTGTTTCAAAGTCAAGAGAGTGTGGTTGGAGAGGTTTGTAACATTTCAAACATTTATGCGTGGCGCTTGGTCTGTCAGTACAGTTCATCTGATCGAAGGAACATGTTCCAGACTTATCCTGTTTTGGCAACGATAATTAATAGAGTTTGCATCTCTCGCGAAACCCAGTTTACAGAACCAGATTTCCATTTGGATGGTGATCACGGTCGGTTTGTGCAAAGTTTATTCACATATTGAAGGGTCTGCCAATCAGGTGCGCATAGAACCTCTGCCGGGCAAGAAGGTAGAGCACATGGGCGTGAAGATTGAGCTCCTGGGACAAATAGGTACGCGCCGGTACACAATGAGTCGACGTTTAGACCAAGATCATTTTGCAGAGGGTTCTGCAGGTAGTGCAATGAGGATGTCGAGATTTCTCTCCAGTTTGCTCCGTATCTCGATGTTCTGGAGTCCATCAGACACATAGCTTGAGACAACTAGAAATACTGATGTAGTCATCAGTAGTGTCAGCAATCATAAGTACAGTTCAGGGGTTTATTTATTTGTCTCCGATGCCGAAAATGGACATTTAGAGTTGACATTAGTGCTGATATTTTACTTTTAGGGATACTTGTCCGGATTTATGGTGAAACAGAAGACTCGTCCAATTTACATGAGTTTCGAAAGCGTGACTTTCCTTTGTTGCACACGCAGAACTCTACTTCGACAGGGGCAGTTTCTATGACTTTACCTCCCTTGGTAAGGTTCATTATGTTTGTTTATCTCCATAAGCCCAATCTGTGAGTATTGCGGTTTGATGGGACGTTTTGACCAAGAAGAAGCCTGCGTTGTATGAGATGCCTGTCAAGAGCAAGATGAATGGGTACGGTTCTGTTCGTGCTTAGAAATATTCTAGATGAAACCTGGCCGAAAATAAGCTTATACTTCAAGTGCGAAGCTGTTTTGATTGGAAAAAAAAGTAACTTCTCCTTGTCCATGTGAACACATTTTTCTATGTCTACGTTTACCTTAACTAGAGGTGTGCAGTCAGGGAGTTGGATGTGCCCGGGGAGATCGTAGACCGCAAGACTTTCCCCTTCGAGTTTTCTACTGTGGAAATGCCATACGAGTCCTACAATGGTGTCAACGTTCGACTCAGGTACGTACCCGCCCAAACCTTGTCGAGTCATATGGCGTAATTGGTTTTTGTCACGCATCGGTGCACACATTCTTTTGAAGGAGGGTTTAACAAAGCACTTCGCACACGCAGATATATATTGAAGGTGACAATTAGCCGGAGCTATGCTACGAATATTGTTGAATACAAAGACTTTTGGGTGCGTTACTTCGACAATCCTTGAGTAGTTCAATGCACGTGGAATTCTATATCTCAAGTTGTCCGACTTGGAACGATCTTATCCACCAGGATGATGTTTCCTTTGTTGGCCGTAGTCTCAAAAGAAGAGCTTGTAAATATTTCAGATATGATACCATGGAGTACCTTTGATTTTCTTTTTGAAATGAACATTTTCTTTCGATGTCCGTATAGACCTAAACATAGTCTCGAGATATTAACCACGAGATGTTCTCGTGGTTGCCGTTTATAACATGGTTGTAGTACTCTCAATATAGCAGACTGGCGTTTCCAGTGATTAAAGTCGCGTTCGCCATTGAACGGTACACCATGTACTTATACTTATATTTTACCATCAATATCAATCTGATGCAATATGGTCGTGTTTATAGGTTCGTAACTTCTCACCTCCACCGGAGATCAACAACAGTATTAAGGTGAGCCCTTGCCTAATTCTCTCTTTCTTAGGGTCCAGATTTTGGAGATCTTTTTGCCTGAACTTGTACCTGCATTGAGAAACTTCTGAATCCACGTTATAGCTTTGAAGACTAACATCAAGTCTGAAAATTCTTGGAATAGAATCTTCGTTTGTTATGGGAGATGATCATACAGAACATTTAGTATTGACATATTTCGTCACGTCAATCAATCTGAATTCTGTATCTATTATCGTACTTTCTAATATGAAGTCATCTCCCACACCCGTGTGAGTTTTCCATTTACGTTATAATGTTGCACAATTTTTCGGCATATGCTCATCTTTCAGGGTTAAGTGTTATTTATAACTGCCTGTTATCCTGATTTGTTCAGATGGAGGTTGGCATAGAGGATTGCCTACATATCGAGTTCGAGTACAGCAAGAGCAAGTAATAATCTCAAGGCCTGTCTCCGTATAAGTACGCCTTCGTTGTACGTGTGGACTAGCCGACGTTCACTCCATTTATGGAAGCCATCTGACTGCTGAAGCTCAGCTTGATTAGGACCCTGGAAATTTGATGCTTTCAAAGCCCAGCCGGGTCCATCTACTCACCAAAGCCTATTTGTTCCACACTGTATATGCATTGTAATCGTTGTGACTTCTTGATGCAGATATCACCTCAAGGATGTCATAATTGGTAAGATCTACTTCTTGCTGGTGCGTATCAAGATCAAGCACATGGAGTTGGAGATCAGGCGGCGCGAGTCTACTGGATCAGGACCCAACACGTACAACGAGACCGAGACTTTGGCCAAGTACGAAATAATGGATGGTGCCCCTGTACGAGGTTAGTAAATTCGTTCCCTTTTCTCCACCTGCTATATCTGTGAATATTTTTTGGCTTGGTTTTGAAGGAGCTGAGGTTTGAGTTGCTTGTTCTTGGGGATTCGTTCTTAAAAATCGGAAGGGTATTCGATGAAGGTTCTTACTCATATTTCTGTCTTATCAGGAGAGTCTATCCCTATCCGGCTTTTTCTCAGTCCTTACGATTTGACGCCTACTTATCGGAACATCAACAACAAGTTTAGTGTGAAGTACTACCTGAATTTAGTCCTAGTTGATGAAGAGGATAGACGCTACTTTAAGCAGCAAGAAATTACAATGATGCGCATTGATTAGTACTCTGACGCAGTTCTGAGTCAGTCATGATCTCGTACAGTCGGCAACTGAGTGGCATTAGCTTTAGAGCTTTCTCTGTTGCGCTTCTTTTCATATTTCTTCCTTACTCTGACACTCGTACAGGCACTTGCATTCATCACTTTTGTCAATTCTCTGTCAGATTTTAAACTGATAGGTGGCTTGCTTTCCCCGCCCATGCCTATTGTATATTTTGGTTCATTGTTTGCTTCTGGTATTATGTACCCTGCATCGCCATGTGCAACAAATCAGAGTGTTTCACTCAATAAAAGAGTGTAGCCTACTTCGTTATTGGGGCTGAAGCTATTCATACATCTTGAATGTTTCTTTATATTTTAATCAATTTTCTGCTTATGGGGCATTTAGGAGGAGAGGTCCTACTTCAGCCTTTCTGCTTGGGTCTCACTACACATCGGATCCATTTTCTTAGGAAGTGTTGTCTTTTTGAAACTTGTCATCTGGCCATTTGTGAACGTTTTGTGGTTTTACATGAATCACTCTGATCTCATATATACCGGGCGACGAGTGAGGCTTACTGTTCTTGGGTTTTTTTGTGTCGGTAGTCAGATGCTACGTGTATTTTTTCTTCCTGTGTACTTGGTAACGCTTGCTTGCATATTTGAGTCGAAGCGTTTGACCTGAATCGCGCAAAGGTTCAGTTTCAGTCAAATGTAGAAGCATTTTTGTTCCCATGAGTTCTTGCTAAAGATAACGAGTGTTAGGATTAACCAATATTACGACGGATGGGTATCTATTTAATAACACTGGTAAAGAGCGGGGTCTTCATATCGTTCGACTACATTCACCGCAGCCGCCAGCAGCTACATTTCGATCCTGAAGTATAGCTTTTGATCACGTCGTCCGGAACATAGCATTACTGGGAACGTGTGATCTCGCATTCTAGATCAGTACCGATCATTTTAACGAGCCAGAACCCGAGTAGAGCCTAAGGTGAGAAGATGTGTATATTCTCTGATGAGAAGTGATTTAAGTTTTACATTAGGGAGCACAATTTCTCTGAAGGCGGTCAAGAAATAGGCGAAAGTCGACTTGTTGATGCAAAGCAACCGTATTTGAAATAATTACATATGTCGTAATAAAGCCATTTGCATTCACAGCACATCTAATGAATTGAAATACTATAATGATGCTGATGATCAACTTTGTGGTATCCTGTTCGTTCCACCGGACAGTGAACGTAAGTTTTCCATGGAGCTTATACTGTCGGGGTCATCAGTCTTATTTCTCGTGCTCAAAAGTTAAACGCTAGTTTGTGAGTACACAATTCCTATCGTCTACATCGAGCCAGGCCGTCTTGGTGAGGACATGTAATACCTTTGAACCATTCAAACCAAACAGCCTTAAACTTAAAGGGTACTCCTGTAGAAGTAGGTTACAGGGTACGAAATTACTCCATTGTCCTCGGACACGCAAAACCACACCGAAGTGTTGAGCACCCGGGAAGCGCCACCGATGAACGAAGGTTTAAAGCAACTTCATTGTACCGGAAGGATGATAGGGCACTGCGTACATGATCAGCACTGTCAAATTGATATCAGTGCGAGTTCCTGTCTGTTTTGTGCGGTGAAAGATCTGCGACACAAACTGGACATGAGTGCATGCCAGAACGTTCATCTGAGAATTAACTGGTCAAAGCTTTGAGAATGATGACGATGTCCACGTGCTGTCGAAGAGCATGAGAGCAATAAACCAGGAGCAAGGCAGTGAGGCCAAACCCCAAGGAACTGACTCCTGTTGGCAGTCAGTACGTGGTCCTAAGCCTGTTGTTTGAGATAATGTACAGGATTGTTGACCTGGTCCTTACCGACGGACGACAGTGTGGACATGTTACTCTTTTCCTGGATGTTGGATCATGTTTTCCAGGGCTGTTTGAATGTTGACATCCTCAACATCTGACGGGAACTCCACTTTCACAAATCAAAGGCATGGCTCAGGGTTCAGAGGACTAGCCTGTTGGAGATCGGCAGCATGCAACTGAGCTTCATATTACTAGGAAAGAGTAAGTTTCATGAGATACTTCCAGAAAGTTCGACATTTGGGAAGATAACACCTATTTCAGCACGGATCAGATCGCGAGGGACGGGAACGCAATGAACTCCAATGAGCTGCAACTGCTCTTCAGCTCTACTTCGGGGCGTTGCGTCATCTCCATATTCTGTCTTGCCAAACCAAAAGCTCAGCCTGCGGATTATGCACGGCTTACGTATTTATAGATTCATTTTTCAAAATTATATCACGTCTTCTAGGAATGGTCACTCGCTGCCCTATCGTAAGGACCGGTGTACGAAAGTTAGAATTCAGACAACGCAATGTATCAGCAGTAAATTTGACCAGATGTCATTTGCGACTTGTGTATGGAATTTCCCTTCCATATGACACTCTGGACAAAGTCTTGTTGAAATAAAGATGACAAATCATTGTCACCATCGTGGAGAAGAGAGAGACTCGACCCATTCGAAATTTACAATATCATCTTGTCTTAGATCTTCTGGAAGTGGACTCACTCTAGCGTCGCAGTCCATCCAGAGTGAGAAGATGAGTCAATGAGGACATGCAAAGCCATGCTCGTGATCGGGACACAAAATGTGGAGGAAGAGTTTATGCATCACCACTTTCCTTCTTAGCGTATGAGCCTGTTTTTGTGTCGTCCTCCCACTTTGTCTCTTTCATTCATCTGATCCACAACTTCGTTTGCCATGAAGGTACGGCAATAAAACAAGCTCTATCCGGATCTCTTGCTCAATCATTCTCTCCTTCCGATAAGCCCGGAATCCACCCTACCAAACACGCACGGACTCGAAACTTGCAGCAACCTTGGGTCAAGCCTCGATCCGAGGCTTTTTCTCGCCTCCCACTCCAACCGCAAATTGCAAGTTGTCCAAACGAATTTGTCGGAAACAAATCGGAGGACATGCATGTTCGAGGAGGTGATCCATTGTTCGGGTGTCTGTCTTTCTTTGCATCTCATGGATTTAGAGCAAAATCTAGCTGCGTTTTGCGATGGTTGAAATTCCCGATATGAATGGGCGGGGGGGCGAGCGGGCGGACAGACAGACAGACAGACATTTCATAAGGATCGTCATTAGCTGGCGGCTGGCTGGTACCTGCCTACAACTGTATAATCAATCAGTTGACCAGAAACCGATCTGCGCCGGTCCCACATCGAAACTACTGGAGGATCTGCTGCTGCTGCTGCGTGATCCAGATCTCATCGAAGTCAACTGATCAAATTTCGCCCTCCCATTGGTCGGGAAGCTCTCCCCTTCAAGCAAGTACGATGAGGTACAAGCGAGGAAGAACTTTTCACCGTCTATTTAAAAAAAGGTCCAAATGCATGGAGCATATACTCAAGTTCATGGCCCTTCTTGTTCTTTCCGCGGCCCAAGACCCAAGAAACTCGATTGGACAAATCCCGTCTCCTAAATTCTAGTCCTTTTTGATGCGATCCTGCTCTGAATCGCAATCAAGGTCATAAGACATAACATTTACGCAGAGGAAGGAAGGAGAGAAGCAAGGGAGGGATGGAGGGAGGAACATTATGAACCGAGCTGAGCTGAGCTCACTCACTCACTCACCCTCCCCCTCCCCCGATCTCGTTCATCAAATTAGCTCACAAGCAGAGATTCCAAGAGATGCGCTCTTCTCAGAGATCTTTCTGGTCCTGCCTGCCTGCTTGCAAGCTCGTGAGGGGCCTCAGGAGGCCTCCCTCGTTCTTGTCTTGTCTTGTCTTTTCCCACAGCTCCCCCTGTCCAGCTCCACAGCGTGTGCCCATTTTTGGGTAGTCGTACGTACCCCCTGGACATGATCCTGCTGCTGCTCGATCGGAAGAGATCGGCCGAGTGAAGATGTCGATCGGCTTCTTCACTGGGTTTGATGGTGACCCGGGTTAAACTCGATTCACGACCATGGGCCCGTTTCTGGCAGTCCCACATATCGGTTCAAAACGTGTCCATCGTAAGTAGAGTTTCCAAATCATGACACGGGAAGACGAGCAGTTCGCAGGTTCATGTCGAGATCGAGGGAGGGGTGTGTTTTATTATGGAACAAATTGAAGAGATTGTGTAGTATTATGGAACAAATTGTGGGATTCCTCGGTGTGATTTTGTTTCTTTCCGAGAGCAGCTCCATTGGTAAGGCTACTGATGTAAGTGGCGGATCGAAGAGGCTGTGGTATAACACCTTCCATGTCGTTCATTATTCACAGGGGCACCGACGAGATTATTCAGAGCACCATGTCCTGGTTCCTTGGGCTAACAATTAGCACTTTCTTCGAGAAGTAGAAAAGAGGAGAAGTGTGATACTCTGATCTGCTAAAGTCTATTGGCAGCAGATGTTTATTTCTTCTATTTGTTTTTCACCGTGTGCTCTTGCGAACCTCGAGGCCAAGGGGTTTGTAAAAATTGGACGGAACTTTTATGGGACCCGCTGAATCCCTGATACGGCTGGCGACGAGGAGTCAAAGCTCAGGCTCCTGGAATCGCAGAGGTCGCCGCCACCCCCAACTTTAAGGCTGGGCAAGTCTGACTGCTCGGATTTCAAGCACACCTTTCTTTGTCCACAAATTAAAGTTGCATCTTCCTCGTGTGCGTTCCTGCAAAGCGTAACCTATTCATGCATTTAATTATTTTGTTATTTCTTCAGGTTCCGTCTTTATTGTGTCGGTTTCCCGAGCTTCAATCTGCTCCCATCTTCACGTAGTAGCCACAAAGCGGTGGGAATATGAGCGCTGCTAACATTTAAGGTTGTCGACCTGCACACATACACAGAGAGAGAGAGAGAGAGGAGCCGCAGCAGCAGCAGTAGGGCCATGGTGCAGATAAGGAAGGAAGGAAGGGTTTTTCATGCGAGGTCGTCCATCACGGCGTGAGGATAATCCGTGAGGAATTTAGTCGAGGTCAGTCAGCGGTGGTAAACCGATGTTGCTACGTCATGGACTTGTTTGGATTCCCATATCCTTGTCCTAAATCAACATGATCATCATCGTCAATCGTAGTATACGACCACACTGTCTGTATGCACAAGAGTCGGCGACTGCGAGAAAAATCTCTTCTTTCTTCCTTTACTTCTTCGTAGAAGATTGTGAATTATATGCACTTTTTTAGGGAGGGAGGGATGGCAGGCATGCAGGGGTGCTCTACATTCGTCAGCCCATTGATACACGTCCTCGGATCGTCTCCAAACGGGATCGGAAATGTGGGTGTCATTTTGGATGGTGAGTGAGCTGAATTTGCAAAGAGTTATGGTTGTAATTCCTGAATACTCGCCACGCCGGTTGCCAATCTTGCGCCCCTCTGCGCTGCAAGGGCAGAACGTCTCGGGCGAGTTTTTTTTTCCTCTGCAGTTTATTTCTTTCTGGACATTCGGATTCGCCTCCTCTCTCTCTCTCTCTCTCTCTCTCTCTCTCTCAGCCATGGAGCAGGCAGGCAGGCAGGCTGTGAAGATGGGTGGGCAAAAAGAGAAGGAATCAGGAGAATCATGAATACATAAGCCTCAATGTGGTTGCCATGTACCATCCCAAAGGAAGTTACCAGCTCTTAGGAAGCCTTAGGAAACACTTTTACTTCTCTACACTCAATGCAGTATGCTACCATTACCACCCACGTCAAAGACACAACTCTATGCACCGTGTCAGCTATTTCTTAGGCTCCAATCACATACCAGCATCAGCACTAATTCTACCACTGTGAATGTGATACACGAGGTCGTCTTTGAAGTACGATCCAATGATGGACTGGGAAGTGAAGAGCAATCAAAAGAGACGAGAAGAAAGGAAGTGGTCAGCCATGACCACATCTCCCAGCTCAGAAGCTCTCACTCCTCAGGGTCAACGGCGTCTGAAAAATACGGACTTGACGAACTCGGCAAATTTTCTGAACTTTGGGCCGACTTGCATGCGGAGAGCGGGAAAAGTGGAGGAGGATTTGTCGAAAGGGTTCCTCGAGGCAACTGGAGATGAGGGGAGGATAAACATGTGCACCGGCCGACGTCTTTGGGGGGTGGGGATGGGGGGGAGGGGGAGGGTGCACCTTTGGCATGGAGAGGACGCAGTGACAGAGAAAAACCAGGGAGCTGGAGCTGGAGCTGGAGCTGGAGTTTGAGCTTCATGAAGAGAGCTGCCGGCGGTACAAGAAGACGACTCTACGAGGCACAAGTCAAAGTTCGTACTCGTGCTCCGCAGAGTAGGTCAACATTCCTCCGCACCGTGAGTAATCTCACGAGTCTAGACTAGACAGACGTCCTTGGACGAAAGGCTCGCCATGCCATGCCTGCCCTGCCGTCATGCCGTGCCAACTTAGAAGGCAGACAGACACTGGAGCGTGTCGATCTCCACATTTGTCAAGGCACATCACATCTTTCCGTTAATCGCAACATCAGAAACAGTGATCCTCCCCTCCCCCTCCCCTCCCCTCAGGGTATATACCCCCAAACATACAGTTTCGGTCCGAATGTGGTCGAAGATTCCTTCACAAGTCTCTGGACGAAGCAATCGATCGGGTTCCAGAGAGGTGTTTGTGGTGCACAGATGGGCGGTGCTGCAGAACATACTCATGCATCAGAAGAGCAAACCAGGAAAAGTAGTCGTCGGTCCATGAGAGATGGGCATTCGCTGGTGACATATGAACTCACTCACTCACATACATATGAACTCACTCACTCACTCACATATGACACAAAGTCGTCGGAACTTGAACCCCAATCGTTGCAGCCCAAGTCTCAGATTATCTCAAGAGCCGGCCATCGGTTCCTTTGAATAAACACGAAAAACTTCTGCTTCGGTCTGACTGTTTCTTCAGTACATCTCGGAATTCGGAAGCTGCGGAATCTTGGGCATGATAACTTCAGACTGCAAGAAAAATCAGCGAGGGGAAAATGGAAGTTTGTCTGCCTGGCGACGTCACGCTGTGGCATTGATATCCTTTTATCCCGGACATGTGTGTTCGAAGCGCAGGATCAATCCACCAATCCATCGATCCATCAATCGACCGAGGCAGCATGCTAGCCTCCCTTGGGACGAGTGACCTCTGCATCTTGCGATTTCCGCTGACATGTCTCGAGCAAATGAAAAACAAAGAGTGCATGCACAACATGGCACTGGGCAGGCCAGAAGATTTCATTCTCATTGGACTAACTGCACGGAGGATATCCTTAAAGGCAACGCTAACCGTTTTGTGTCTGGAGCAATGGCCTCCTGAGGCCCCTCCCTCCCTCCCTCGAGGGCTATACTTTTCATTTTCTTTTCCTCCTTCTCCTCCTCCTCATCCTCATCCTTGTTCTTCTTCTCGACCGGGCTTTACAGCGTGGAGGGAACTCGGCAAACCGTGCCAAGTATACAAACTCAGAGCTCCAGAAAGGTCAAAGAACAGTGATAAAGTATTGGCCATGGTGTTGCAGTTTCGAAGGAAGACCCTGGCGGCACACCAGCAGATGGAGGGGGACGGTCGCTACACTAGTAGATTGGTCGTGGGGATTGACATCCCTCGCTCATGTGAATGAACGAACATTCATGCAAACGAGGTACATACAAAAGTGCAGCACCAGCAACTTCTTCAGAAATATCTGTTGTTATCTGTTTCGAACACGAATCACGAACTCTCTCTGCAGGTTGTGCGTTCCTGAGAACCTAAGTCGATAGCAAGGTGGCAGGTCAAGAAATCGTCGCCATTCGCATCCATGATGGATGAGTGATAGAGTTAGTGAGTGAGTGGGCGAGTGAGTGGCTTGTAAGTAGGACATGGCATGACATACAACGAAAACGAAACTCTCGGTGACGCAACACGCAATTCCAGCCAGCAACAGATTTGGATTTGCTGCCCGTCATATGATAACGGCCTGAACATTCCACATCGGGTGTCAAAGGAGGCCGCAGGGGATGTCGGGTGCTCCTAATTATAATGAGGTCAAACTTTTCCACCACGACGATCCATCGCCTGTCTGCATGTCGGAATGGACCTTCCGAAGCCCCCCTACCCCCACCCCCCACCCTCCACCCAGTCTGTGAGCCTCTCTCCCTCCCTCAATCCCTCAATCAGATCGGAGTTCCCTTGCTGTTGTTGTCATTCTCCTCATAATCATGAAGTCGCATGAAAGATCCTGGGCCACCCTCCCATTGTGATGGCTGTTTGAGCAATCGGCAAAATTCGTTGCTGGATCGGGAGTGGATATGTCTAGATATATATATGACCAGCTAGAGAGATACGGTTGACCTCATCCTCTGCCTACTGGCCATCATCCTGAGGAGTTGACAATAGTACAATGCTCTTTCTTCGAATCAGAGGGGGCTGGGGGGATGGGAGGAATAGTTCTATGTTGATCGGACAAGTCTAGTCTTGGTCTTGTAAAGCAGGTTTCTAAGATGGGCTAGTTAACAAGGCTTCATGGAGAATAAATTGCCATGGCTTGAGGCGAATCTGTTGAAAAGTATGTTGCATAATTATACCAACACAGACGGCAACTACGGCTACGGCCACTACTCTTGGTTGGAAGACTTCCCCACTGCACTTACTTGCACTATCCAAGTCTGAGCAATCAAGCGAGCCCGCAGCCCAGCATCCATCGCGACCTGAAGCCTTAGTAAAGAACTATCCGAGCCTAGGGCCTGCAGATATATGGATACATCATGCCCCCGTCCCTGCTTGCATCATCATCAAGTACAAGTAAATCCTGGGTCTTTGAGGGTGCTTCCTGCCATTTCCAGTTCAGCTCCAGTTCCAGGTCCAGTCGTCCGACGATTAGTTGGACCTCGACTGTGACCTCCTCGCGAGAACCGATGAGAATTTCCTCGTCGAGGAAAATAACTTCATCGCTGTGAGAAATAGACTTCAAATCTATCATTAGAAGAACAACCGGCCAGAGAACAAGAGTATTTGAAGGACACGCCTATTTGAACCTAGGCCTGGGCTGGACTGGCCTGGCCCTGGCCCTGGCCCTTGCCCTTGCCTACATCGTTTGTCTTGGCCCGGTAGGTTCTGATTGTTTTGTTTTGTTGTTTGGGTTTTGAAAAAGGGCAAGTAAGACACCATGAAGGCATTGACGTCGAATGAATGCAGTCAGCAATCTGAAGCAATCTCAACATCACTCTGCAAGCCTGGTTGGTTAGGTGTCAAAAAGGCTTCAGCAAGTAACCAGAGGCTGGTGCGTATCCGAGACCTGAATTCAACAACATTCTCATTTGTCAGGTATTTTTCATTATATCTTTTGGTCCATTATGGAATGGGCTCGGAAACTATTGACAGATGTGACGATGGATCCCGACCGCGAAAAGAATGGATAATATGCTAACAACATAAATTTGTTTCATGAATCTCAGTTGGTAATTGACTCCCCAAATTAGTTGTACTCGTGACCGACCATTGTCAAAACATAAGCCTGGAGAATTGCACCACCTAATTCTGAACCAGTTGATGATAATGCTATAAAAGTAGGCCGCAATTCATGACCTGGTGCGGTTCCCATGAAGCAAAGGACGTGACATCAGTCGACTTCCAATCGCCAGCCAGAATGATTAGAAATGAGTAGAAATTAAAAGCTGGGTCCTTCCAAAAGAGCAGTTGCTAGCTTAGCGCAAAACATGAATCTATCCCAAGTTTTAATCAGCAGAACACTTGAATTCATATGAAATCAAAAGGAACACACAGATCGACGATGATTTATCCACTTCTACAAAGTAGATTCGTTCGCTCCAGTCCAGGCGTAGCGACAGGATGTGGATATGTCGTCTAAGGTGCTTGTAAGATACACAAGAGCTGTTGTGGCTGAAACCGAAGGATGGTAAGTTGTCTCATCTCTCTCTAGAGCGAGGGATCATGAGCTCGTCCAAAGCATCTTTTGGAAACCGTTAAGGAAAGTCATATCGACCGACCTTTGGGGGATTTGCCACTTGGGACACTGCTCGTGGAGTTCTCTCAACGAGCAGGCCATGGAGTTCGGTTTCACTTTTCCAGAAATGTAATCACCGGCGAAGACCATAACCAACTCTTCCTCGTCCCCCATCCATCAAATTCATCAGCTGGATGTTCACGTGAGCATGTTGAGCACGAGTGCGCAGCAGAGATTGGCTGGCGGGGGTAGCGGAGGGGGAGGGGTCGGGGGGTGGGGACTGAAGCAAGGGATGAAGGAATGAAGGAATGAGTGAAGAGGTGTCGATAAGTGCGGTGGACACAAAATCGCTGGCGAGCTTGGGGGATTGTGTTTTACTAGGGATCCTAGCTCGGAAAGGAAGTCCTCCGGGCTAGCAGACGATTCAATCCCCAAGTTTCGGTCCTGCAATCAATCATCCGATCGGCGACGCCCCTAGCGATTCTGATGTCATTTGGCACAGATCCTAGACACTGTCTGAACATACGCACGACTGACAGGTCTCCAACGGAAGATTCCGAAAGCAGGAGATCGAACCTTTGGGCGGGTTCCAAAAGAACCGTACTCATCTAAATTCGTTTCGGTCAAAAGGGTTTTATATAGGGCATTCTCGAAAATGTAGCCGTGGTTTCTTTGTAGACTCGATTTCAAGGAAATACGAGAGGTTCATTGCGCGTGCTGCTGGTGGTCTCTCTGGATGAGGCCGATGTAAAGGAATGAGGCCGATGCAAAAGAATCCGGGTCACATGCTCCCTCCTCTTCCGCCCCTTTGCTCCACGGGCTCGAAGGTCCCAATCCCTATGCTGCCGGGGCCGGGACGGACTTCATTCCTCTGGGCTTTATTATGTCTGCCTGCGATCCTTGAGTCCGTCCTTTCACTAGCAGCGTGATTTTCTCGTGGCCTCGTCCCCATCCCTCTCTTCCTCATTCATACGAAGTTGACGATCGGATCATCCATTGTCAGCGACCGAGCCATGTATGCATCACGAGCGAAAACAAACGACACCCGGCGATTCCAGAGCTGGGCTTCTCAACCATCAGACGACGAGCACAGCGCAAAAGTCCACTCTCGCCGGCTGCGCAGACCATCGGAGGGATCGCGGATTCCGCTTGCCTGCTGCAGAAGCCACGGTATCGAGAGCGAGACGAGCTCGTTCATTGTGGCCCAACGAGGCCTCCTCCCCCTCTCGCTCCCGGTCGCCCACGCTGAAAGAAATCTCAATGATTAGGGCATTCCCAACCCACCAGGTCCGTAGGCCCGCCCTCGGGTTCAAACCCTGGTCCGCGTCGGGTCGGGTCGGGTCGGGCGAGTCTGCAGCGTGACCCCTGATCCGATCTACCGCCCCCGGAATTTCGAGAGCACTACGTCGGTCAGCTGAACGGAAGCTAACTTTAGAGCTGGCTACGTCGACACTCGTCTATTTTAGCGGAGACGATCTCGGCTCTTTCCGGAGCGCGACTCGGGATAAATGCCGTGCTGGCCTGAGCTCTGACTGGACGGTCGGTGCCGCTGCCAGAAGACAAAACAAAACTTCGGACTAAAGTCCGACGCACTGCTATACAAGTAAGTCAAGCACTTTGCTTACTTACTTGAATCAAGTACACTACTTACTTCCTTCCTTGCGTACGACGACGTGCTAGGGCGATGATCGAGTCTGCAGATGTGAGGAAATAATAATTAATTCAGAAATAATACAATCCCGCGATCCGGGCCGGGATTATAAACGCAACCAAAAAGGTCGAAACTGCTCGCGTCGGTACGCATTAATATGCAGCAGAAAAGTGTTTCTTGACCTGAAATCGGGCCCAAGCGGTTACACAGCCTTAAACAAAAGCAGCCCAATTATTTACGACCCCCCGCTCGGTTGTAGTAAGTAGTAAAATCCCCGCCCAGTCTCAACTCTCACGCACGCACTCACTCACTCACGTACACACGCACGCACCCAATCTCAAACCGAAAATTTCCCGTAAATTCTCGAAAATTTCCCGAATATTTAAAGCCGAAAGATGGCCCCCTGGTTCGAGTCCTGCGCCGGTAGCTGTGACGGCCGTTGGGTCCGGCGCGAGGCGGACGGCCGATTCGTTGGACGGCTGGACGGCCGGACGTGCGCGAGTGAGACGGGAGATTGGGCGAGAGAGGAATGAAGGACGGAGGACGGATGGACGGACGGAGACTGGGCGGGGCGGGGCGGGGTGGGGTGCAGGGGGTGAGGTGGAACGGAAAGGTCGAAGCACGAGCAGCGCGGGGAGGGGCGCCGCTCGTCCGAGAGTCCGAGAGAGGGTCCGAGGGAGAGGAGGGCGGAGACTTTCGAGAAAGAGGGACAGAAAAGACGGTCGCGCCCCATCTTCTGCTTCTGCTGCTGCTGCTGCTGCGGCTATCGGTCTGTCCCGTCTGAGGCCCGATGGTGGTGGTGGTGCAGGCTGGAGGCACGCGACGACGAGGATGGGGAGGCGAGCTTGTTTGACCCGTCTGTGAGAGTCGGGGGGTCGGTTGTTGTTGTTGTTGTGGTGGGGGTGTGGGTGGTGGTGTCACCATGGACGAACAGAGGCGGGCAAATGCTCGGCAGAGGGTGGAGAAAAGGCGGGGGAATGGATTGCCGAGGGCGCAGGATGCAGGCGCCGGGCCGCGCAGGTGATCGCGAGCGAGCGAGGGTAATTGCCGATGCCTGGGAGCCGGCGGTGGTGATGAAAAGGGTTGTCATGTGAGCGAGCAGAAGGGCAGAATGAGGGAGAATACAAGAAGCATGGCTGCTGCTGCTGCTGCTGCCGCTGCCGCTGCTGCTTCTGCGGCTGCCACCGTTAAGCATGAAGAACAACAGGCTGAGACTAGTTACCTTGATTTTATCTCCCTTCCAATTATTCGTCTGGACGAGTTCGACCAGGATGAGCTTCGACTCTTGGCTCAGTTCTCCGGGCACTTTCCGGAGGCCAGTTTTCAAAATCTAGTGATTCCCAAGATAGATAGGCGAATTTTTAATGAGAGTGCCGGGAGTCGCAGGCAGACTTACGGCAAGTGTTTCGCCAGTAGGCATTGGAATTCGGTGCCCGATAATGCGGATGATACCGGGAATGAGGAGGAATACGAACCTGCTCGGAGCAGGGGACGTCTTCGCAAAAAGCAGCAGCGCAAGGTGAATGTAGCTGAAAAGACCCGGAGCGCGAAGGCTGTGGCGAGGGTCATTGTGGAGAGGAAAGGAAGGCTTCGCTTAATGGACTCAGCCCACCAAGGCTTCAGGGGCAGGCCCCGAGTCAGTAACGAAGCACGCGGCCAAAGCAGTGGAGGCCGGAAAGTATCTTGGATTCGCAGAAATAGACCTTCTTCGGCTGCGTCAGATAGTAGTGATGACTCCCTATGGACCGATTCGGGAGGGAAAGGTACCAGGGCCACTGGTAGCGCAAAGAGGGGTAGACCAAAGAAGCTAGTCCCGAACGAAGTGTCTAATGAAGACCTTAAGCCGAATGGATCAATCGATAATTCTAGGAAGAAACAGAAGCAAGAAATTGATAATCTAGTAGAAGAGGAATACGAAGAAGAGTTGGGTAGAAGGACAAGAAAGAGAAGAGCCAACACGAATTATGCTGTCGGCTCTGGGGTCGTGGAGGGTAGAGGTACTAAACGACGAGGTGAAAGAGGTGCTGTCATCGGCCGGCATGGCGAAATTGACCAAAAGGACGACGGTGGTAGAATGTATTTTGGAGAGGAAGAGTTGATGGACACTCTCACGAAGATGAAAGGGAAGTGGTCATCGAGCCAGATGAAACGGAAGATAGTCGATGCTACCGGCTTTCCCAAAGGTTGGACAGTGTTGGTGGGATTACGGCATACCAAGGATGGGCGAGCTTATTTTGACTATCGAGATTGGAGAAGGTCGGTTTTTGCCCCTTTGTGCTGAATACAAGGGCCGACAGGACACTGATCCGTCCTACCGTCGCTTTCGTTGTCATTTTCATGTAGATAAGAGGCACAAGAATCAACAGTTAACGTGGTTTGTTCGTGCATGTCGATGCGCCGTTTCAGACGTAGTGGCTGTAGGTTTTGCGAAATGAAAGGTCCATACTAAATCCGAACGAAACGCAGCACTAACTTTTTCTTTGTCGTAAAACATGGATGGTTTTTGTAGTCCGGAAGGTAGAATATGGACTTCTTACAGAGAAGCGGCTGCGTATCTGATATCCACAGTTGGGAAAGATCCTTGTTTCAAAGGGTTGCCACATCCATCGCCTCTCCAAGAAGATGCTTGTGGACCGAAGACCCTGACCGCGGATGGAGAAACGAGTCACGATGCCGTGTGTTCTGATCGTGATCAGCCTTTCACCAACGGCACCTCCCTGGTAGCACTCATGGAATCTCAGGACGGTCAACCGTACGTGCCTCAGCTATTCTTTGAGGCGCAGACGGCAGGAGACCTGCAATTTTTGGAGCGCAGTCTCGAGCAAGACTTGCAAACCTTGGAGCGCCGAGTTTGTGATGCTAGCATTGGCAACTCTCATACCCCAGGAGATCATGTAGATAAGTTTCTCAGAGTCGCCTGCAAAGCAGATGAAATGGCAATCAGCACACAGGCATTTGGAGGGCAGGTAACGATCAAGACGGATCCTTCAACATGTGGGGCAGATGGGGAAGGTAGTAGACAGCTTTCGGACTCTGCCGCGAACCTGAAACCCGAAGCTCCGATTGACAGTAGCGTGCATTGCAGTAAGACGAAGCCGATTGAATGCCAGTCAGCTGAAGAGGTGGATGGCAGTCAAAGGCTGAGGGAGTCCCCTGAGGAATCCTTAGAGAAAGAACCTGCTGGCGGAGGCCAATCTGATCATCTGAATATTATTGGTGCAGATTGCCCCCGCCATCAGCCTCTCGACCCTGAGAAAGGGCCCATCTGTCATCTGTGTGGCATAACTTTCCCAACCCAGATAAAACTGCGCAGGCACTTGAGAAGATCGAAGCATCTGAAATATTTGAGGTGTGAGGTTTGCGGAAAGAAATTCAGTTCCATATCGTTGCTGCTGAACCATCGTCTGAAAATGGGTCATACCTACGTGGCTAGAGAAACCCTCGACCTCACTCGTGTACCAGCTCAGACGTCAAATCCAGTGGGAGTAGAACGCCCGGCTGAGATGTCTAACATTGTCCTAGGTCTACTATCTGACGTCCATAGGAGCGTTGAAGCATGGGATTCAGACCAACCGTCCATACTGAAGGAGACATCTAACTCGTCCACCCAATCAGTGAGATCAGCTGGTATCAGCGTGCCCAACATGTTGGAGAGAGTCAAGGGAGAATTAGAAGACGTGGCTCCAGGGAAGATTTCAGGTGTCTTTGAGTGCAAGACTTGTCATAAGATTTTCCATCATCAATCTAAGTTTTGGGGCCATTTGAGCTCGCACTCGAATAAGAAGGGAGAGATGGTACATACGGCCCCGAGGAGTTTAAAGTGTCCCAGGAGCCTACCTGTTCCAGATGGTGTGTATGAGTGCGACGTCTGTCATAAGATTTTCCATCATCAGTCCAAGTATTGGGGCCATTTGAGCATCCATTCCAATAAGAGAAAGAAAGGTCCAACATCCAGTTCCCTACACGACCTTGAGTCTGATATGCTTAATAGCAGGATGGTGGAGGAGCCGAAGCCCAGTGTAAGGGAGCTAGTTAGTGGCAGTAACGGAGTTGAAGTCAATCACACTGCATGTGCCAAGCAGCATGTTACAAAAAGTGTGTTTTGGAAGTTGCTGGACGACTCTTTACCACCAGAAGGTGCCAATCATGAATCAGTGCCATGTCGGGAAGAAGCAACCACCAGACCTCTTGCCCCGTGTACAAAAGAAGAGGTACTTAGCCCCAGAAGGCCCTTCTTTTGTCTGATAGGGTCACCAATATGTCTTATGAAATATGCTGGTCTCTAGATCTTCACTTTCATGTAGTATAGGCCACCGCGAAATTGTAGATTGAGAATCACTCTTTATCAAAGCTCGCATCACGTAACTTTGGATTGTCACTAACTTAAGAGATATCGCTTTAGTCGCAAAACAGGACTTCTCGGCTCCAAATGATGTTCTGAAGGTGATATTTGATCACCGATTGTGAAATTTTCACATCCTTAGATACGGAGGGATAGTCTTATATTGGGGGGTTAGTCGTTGCATTTGTGAAGCATGTGTATGGCTGCCATAATTTATGTCTATCATGAAAGTGTGTGGTGAAAGCATAACTCCCTCGTTGGAAGTAGTCTTCTCCATTCTCTCATTCAGTATTGAGGTCATAGCGTCAGCATGCTGATTATTTACTGCCTTCGAAATGTTTCTTTTATGTATATAGTGGGTACAGGGAACCAGTCTCTCTTGCAGGCAGACGCTCTCGATTACTTCGAGACTGATCCCCTTCTCGCCAAGCTTAAGCGAGGGCTGTGGAGAATTGCGTCTACTCCCGTGTCTTTTATTGGCAAAAACTGGATGTGCGAAGATGATATTACTAGCACATCTCAGCATGGTTGAAATGAACCATGGATGGATATATGGCTGCATTAGTTGAAGTCGCAAATTGACGTCCAGTTGATTGTCAGGGTGCTCGATGCTTTTGCTGACGCAATACCCTGTAATCGTTCTAGATAATACACCAAGACTCTTTTGTCTAAAGTAACAGTGGGGGAGTTCTGGTGTATGTAGAGCTTGAAAAGCTTCTACTTCTGTCATCTAAGATTAATAAAACAACTTCTCTTCAGAAGTTCTCCAATTGCCGTTCCATCATCTGCGTTGTTCTTATTCAAGAATAATGTTTGTCATTATGGTGGTATATGTTAGTGGGTTAGTTCTTCAACTCTTGTTACATATTATCCGTTCTCTTGTTAAAGAATAATGTTTGTCATCACGGTGGTATATCCTAGTTGGGTAAGGAGCTTGGATACTGGTACTAAGAGCGTTGAATTTACTATCTAAAAATACAGAAACTTGAAGCAAGGAAATCGCACTATTAAAGGGGTTGATTCGATGTGATAGAACAAATATTTTTTTGCTTTATCCGTTATTTTTATTCAAGAATAATGTTTGTCATTACGGTGGTATATCCTAGTTGGGTAAGGAGCTTGTATACTGGTTACTAAGAGCGTTGAATTTGCTATCTAAGAATGAAGCAAGGAAATCGCATTATGAAAGTGGTTGATTTAATGTATTAGAAAAGGTCCTAGAGAGCAATGCAAGAATGGGTCGACACAGAATCTGTGTCGACCCATTCTGAGTTGTTGATTAAACACAGGTCCCGAATTGGGTTTAAATACCCAATCCGAGCTGACAAAGGAAATTATGAGAGGGACACACCTCCGTGGTGGGTAACGGTTACGGTGGCCGTTACATCACAGCTGTAGTCTACCGTCCTAACTATAAGTACACCAAGAAGAGACAGCAAGGAATAGAGAGTATAACAGTATTCTAACACATAGAACAAATAATTCTTTGCTTTAGATCCTTACGTCTCGGGGTCTGTGTGTAACCGGCATGCGTTGTTTCTTTTGCAGGCAGGAGACCGAGAGGCCAACACGGGCTTCCAGAGCCCTTTGGAGGTGAACTTCGGTCCTACTGGTTTTACTGATGTGCCACAAGCCAAATCGTCACCTCCTGTGCTTTCCTTACATTCAGGCTCTCTATTCAATCATGGTCTATTAGAACAAAAGATAGGGGAAGGTCAGAGGATTATCAATGATATCAATGAAGTATCTGTGGGGATAGAAACCATTTGGAAACAGCTTAGTGAAAAAACACCGTCGATGGACGTAGGGAATGAAGCATGTCCCGTGTGCCGCAAAGATGATGACCAACCCAGACACCTTATATGCGATTGGTGTGAAAAGGAGTTTCATCAAGGTTGTCTAAGTCCAGTTTTGCATGAAGTCCCTGTGGATTGGATATGTCCCTTTTGTCGAACTAGGGGTGCGCAGACTCTATAGGATATCAACCGTGTTGGCCATCATCTTGTCGATCTAAGGTGAGGAAGGGAAATATTTATATGCAGTAATTACCCAACCAAATACTGATTTGGGTAATACCAAAAGGATAGCAAGGTTTTGCAGGTTTCGTTGAATACTTCGTCTAGAGACCTCTCACAAAATGCTGAGGATACTATGACGAACTGATAGGATTTTTGTTTCATATATTCACCTCATTGGTGATTTTTTGTATATAGATAGTTTGACTCCGTAGGTACAAAAATGACTCACTTCGTCGTGAAGTGCTGATAATTTATTGTAGGTCACGTTAGTGGTTGAAGCAGAAGGATGGAAAGGGAAGAGGGAAGGCTAATGTCTTGTCGGAAGAGAGATGTAGGGGAGGACAATAGAAATGTAGATTCATGAGAAAAGTTTCTCATCTTAGACTCACTGTCCAATTTATGGAAGTTGTCCTAATTTTCATATTTGTTTCTCGCTTATGAATGTCCCAATTAGTATTAAATACAGCCTGTGGTCATCCTACCTATCATTATTAAAAAAAAAATCAAATTAGATTTAGAATTGGTGTGTGTTCGGTTGTGTGCACTGATGGAACGCAGATTGTACATTGAGCCAGTTTTGAGTGGACAAGCTAGGAGTGTATCCGGGTAAGCCGACGTCTAATTCCAATCAGAGGTATGTTCTACCAGGGCTACTTGAGACAGAATTTCGACTTGGACTGCAAACTAGGAGTGTATCCGGGTAAGCCGACGTCTAATTCCAATCAGAGGTATGTTCTACCAGGGCTACTTGAGAGAGAATTTCGACTTGGACTGCAAACCTGTCACATGTATAGCGCTTCTTCAATGACGAAAAATCTAAATATACCTGCCGAATACTTAATTTATTGATTTGTATTATACTTTTTTTTAAACTAGGTATACGACATTCCATATTCTCTTCCTATTCTTAATTACGTTTCTTTACTGACGATAAGAGTGTGAAGGAGGAACTATCAGTGGAAACCTGGATGTAGTTCCTCAAGGGGAATCTTAGAATGACTTCAGGTTGTCTGTGTACTTAACGAAGGAGGAGGTGTGATCATTAATTCATGCAAGAAACGAGGTTAAAGGGAGTCATGTTTCCACTTGATTTGATGATTTGGAGACGGCGTTTGATGTTTGTATAAAGGGGGCTGATCCCTACACCCTGCTGATTTGCTTTTCCCTCCCTCCCACCCCCTTATCTCAGCCCCTCCCTTTTATTCTCACCACCTCCGTCTTTCTAATTCCCCCGATTCCTTGTACCGCCACGCCATGATCCCCCTCCCGAGGCTACTTACGACTATGTCCATGCCTTGAAGGCTGCGTGCGTACAGCATGCTGCCACTCATCTCTATAGCGTCACCACCAATCTTTTCCCACCCTTCCCATCGTAGAAGCTGGGCCAGGGCGAGGCGTCAGGGAGGCAGGTAGCCGCAGGGGAAACGTAGAAAGGTGTCGGGAAAGGGGGAGGGTGGGAAAAGCAAATCAGCAGGATGGAAGGATCAACCCCCTTGTATAAATTAGCATTATTGCCTGATTAGGTAGCAACTAACTAGCAAATATCTATTAGGATCAAGCTAACTTTCAATTTATGGTATCTCGATCTTGAAGAATATCCTGGTATAGCGTCTGGGTGACGAGGTAAGTTATGACTTCTACCTTAATCTTTGCTTTTGCCAAATTCTATCTGAATGATTTTGATGAATTGCAAATTAGTTAGAGTTTTTCCAATTTGTGGTTTGTCATAATTTATGACGAGAGATTACTCCTACCAACAGTCCCATCATAATCTTGTATTTGAGAAGGGGATTATTAAATCCAACCCCGAGTTGTTAAATTCACCCTGCGTCGCGGCAGTTGTCATGGCAACAAGGAAATAGAGGAACATTTTTGTTGGCGATACGGTTGTCGTGATGAACTGGGTGGGTACCTTGCGGGTTTCGCGGCAGTTGTCATGGCAACAAGGAGGAGACAGAGGAACGTTTTTGTTCGCGATACGGTTGTGGGGATGGACTGGATGGATACCTTGCGGGTTTCCTTTTAGTGCGTGCGACTGTTGTCCAGAACCGCATTGGGAACAAGGCAGTAGCGTACACGACCGGTTTTATTGGCACCATGAGCAGTTAGGACTTTGCTGGCAAGGATGCCCAGATAAGAACCAGAAGCTGAAAGCGCCTCAAGATCTTTAGGAAAACCTTTAAATGCATAGTAGGTGGTGTTTTTAAAGTATTAATCTCTCTAGTGGGAGGTAGAAGAGAAGGGCTTGGAATATGATCTTCTGGTTTAGCCGGTCCAGTGCGTGTTCAAGTTCCGCAGCAGCGGCAGCAGATTCCGGTGTTTCCTCCATATGCATATCAAGGATCACCACTGACAGCAGCTTCATAGGAGGGAAAAAAAACGAGAAAGAGAGGCCGGAACCTATACTAGACACGACGAGAAGGAATTTTACATTTTGACATGTCTTGTATCCATGACAACTGCCTTGTATCCAACAACTGCCGCGAAGGGATGAAATTTAACAACTTGGGGTGAATTTAACAATACCCTTTGACAATTACATGTTGATTGATTGCTGAGTGATTTATAGGGTTTGAAGAGTCAGGGTTTCTAAAGAAATAAGTAACAACAAAAAATGTTGCCTAACGTTTTTTCTTCACTCATCATCGCTGCGATTGTGTTCACCATTCAATACCTTTGGAACTAAGAAATTACGAAAAGTGAACTGGTTAGGGTTACAAGATATAGTGGTAATGATTTCACAAACAGGTTGTCTGAGTCTATTAGTGAAGGGAGGGTTACACCACAGTATATTCAAAACTCGTCCTGAAAATCTAAAATACTTTTGAAGAGATCTTATTAGCAATGTAAGGATTGAGTTATCTTATTCGATGGCTTCTGTTATGTTGAAGAAGTTGACTTGGAAGAGTCTATTTACACTAATATACCGATATTGGAATGGTTGTAGCCACAACAAGAGCTAAATCTGCTGAAGTAATATGAATATACCTTGTTACGAAAGTTGTAAGGAATCAGCTTTTAACAGCATCGATGGATGTTCACTTATAAATAGGTAAGTAAATAAATGTACATACTTACTAAACTTATTTTCTTCAAAGTTAACATAGGTACCCAGGACATGTTGATAGGACAGATGGTTGAGAATTTAATAACAGTATCACAATAGTGGACTTTTACTCATCACCACTTCCTTCAATGAAATGATTGTATATGAATGTACTGCATACGTAGTTTTCCTGATCATGATCTTTTGTTGCACGAACTACTATTTTTTGTTTTGCCTATTTGTAGGAGACAGTAAAGATGGATGATACTCTATAGGTGTTCCGGAATCTACGTTATCCGATTTCTTCACTTGCAGAGCTCTATGGATAGTTGAAACATGTGACGTACACTTGGTGTTTAGGAGACATGTACTTCATTCTCTCAAGAAGGGTAATTTGTCAGGGGCGTACTTTACATACACCATGATGGGATAATATATTTTTCCAAGGTGGTGGCTGGTTATCCCTCACTCTACTATATGCTGTTCATTCCTTGGTAGCGTCTGGTAATAGGATATGGGGGATGACTAATAAATTTGGAGGTTTTACTTCTTTCCGCTATTCGTCAAAGATGCTTCCGTGGCAAGAGTCACGTCAAACCCATCTCTACCACCTCCGCGTTCGAGGTCCATTGTGAATGTTGTCTCCTAGGGTGGGTGGAGTTGGTCATTCTCGGATTTTCTCGTCTGATCGTCGTCAATGCCATGCGCAGCGCTGCATGGCCGGCAGAGAGAGAGGGAGGAGGCAGTGGGGCTGCCCTTGGTCCTTGTTCTTCCTTTCCGGACCCCGTTGGGGTGATGGAGATGGCGCATCCATTCTTTTGTCCATTGAGCGTACCCTGTTTTCTCCCTCTGTCCATCCCTCGGCCCATTCTTCTTCTTCTTGCTGTTGTTGACCTCCTCAAGGGGAGCTGGGTTTAATATTTCCCACGGTCTGGGGCTTCCATAGCTGGATCTGTTGCTTGTTTGCTTGCTAATGCATGTACTCACTGTCGAACGGTCCCTAGACTTGTGGTCCTCGAAAGCGGAGGTCGCAGGCATAGGTTTGACGTAGTTCTTACCATGGAGCCATCTTTGAAGAAGAGCGGAAAGAAATAAAACCCGCTAAGTTTATTAGTCACCCCACAGAACTTATAACCGGGCGCCACCAATGAGTGACCAATAAACAGTAGGGTGAGGGCCAATTAGACTCTTGGATAGATCAACCCCGGCAGTATAATCTCCGAGCTGAGTGCATACGTACACCATTCGTGTTCCACCGTCTCAGTCACCCAAGGGTTTTGCTTTACGTACCCAAGACGAGGCCGGTCGGCCTTATCAACTAGCATCTCTTGCGACTCATCTTGTAACTGGCGATGGCGGATCAGGTGAGCCCGTAGTTGTAGATTTGGCGAGTAGTTTCGTGGATTCAAGCTTCTGCGTTGCGATTTCCAAGGCCATTAGCGTTTGTAGGGGGCCAAGATTTTTCTTGTCGTTGCGGCTTTAAGAGAAGGGGTGGGGTTCCAAATTTTGCTTAGTTTACGTACTTCTCCAAGGGCTTTTTAACACCTCAACGTCAGCCTTTCTCTCCGTATCCTTCCCCAGCGCTTGACCTTGCATGTTGATATTTGGCTCACCTTCAATATGCGGCGATTCTCGTTTCAAGACTTTCAAGTGTTACAGAAGTATGAACATGCATATTGCACATTTCTTACAAATTGTCAGTCTTTCTAAGCCGAGTCACAGAAGGGAGGCATAGACAGTAGCTACCAAAGTCAAGTTCAAGCTCATAGCCAAGATATTTCCCACATTTATGCCACCGAACTCTTCGTCCAGAACATTGTGTCGGAAATTGTCAGCTGGACATGGCTTATTGCTTATTTCTGAGAGACTTCATGCTCGGAAATCATTGCAGAATCCGATGTGAGCTTTGCATCTCATGCTCCATGAAGTTAGGGCAGTCTCTTGAGTCCATGGAACTTGAGATTTCAGCGCATTTTCGGTGCCATCGAAATGTTTTATGTGTCTTTAACATGCGGTGCTTCACGTCATTAGGATTACAGCTTATGTCGCCTCAATGTATGAAGGTCTACTTCGAGGCTGTACACTAGGATTACAGCTTATGTCGCCTCAATGTATGAAGGTCTACTTCGAGGCTGTACACGAGATGCCGAAGCTCCGGGGCTTACACATTCTCCCTCTAATTTTCCTTTCATTGCTTGCATCCAACACTCGAAATTAGAAATGCTCACAATTACAAGAACGCGCTGAACCGGATCCAGACCTAGGGAAGTGTTGCATGTTGCCTCGTCCAGCATATCAAATTTTCCAAAGACTTAGAGAACGAAGCACCACGATAAGCATCAACTTATTTGGTGCCGACATCGACTGACCATGTGTTGATGTGTCGAATTTGAATATTAGAGGTTGCGCGCATGACGGATGAATTCTTGACGGTACAGGGACAGAGGAGAAACCGTCTACCGTCAGTCCACAGTCATACAGTCGGGTTTGTTCTAGCTTGAAGTCTAATCAGCCCTAAGTGAGGGATAACTATCCGCCCTCTTCTCCAGATGGAGATGGTTGTAAAATATGACTTGCACCAACGATTTCAAAATACTCGGGAACGATACGAGAAACGTTGGTGAAGTCAATTGAATCACTTGTAGAGAGTTCTGCAAGTAATAGAACACTGCAGTATCACAGTCAGCGGCGATACTCTTTGGCCACGGATGTGATTTGATATGCTTGGGCTGGAGAGTTTGTGTTTGGCATCCTCGATGTCTTGGAATATGATGCAGTAATTGTATTTCAACTGTTCCAAAACTTTCAGTCTACTCGGTTGTCTATGAGCTTGTGCAAGTGCATGAGAATCATGAATGAAAAGTACGTAGCCTGAACGCGTAATAAATATGGGCTCCTCTTGGGTAAAATCTCTGTCCAGCCTATATAACTACATAGTTAAACTTACCAATAGTGACGTCCAATGGTGCTTGGGTTTTGCGACACTATTGGGAGTTATCACTCACAAGAGTAGAGTGTTTAACCTTGAATATAATTTTCCAATAGTGACATACACGGGTGTTAAGATTGGATGTCATTACTGGCAGGTAGATAACTTTGAATATAACCCTCAAATAGTAACATACATAGTGTTAGGATTGGATGCCACTATTGGGAGTGTCATTTATAAAAAAATGAAGGTGCATAGACTCCATCCTAGTACATTCTAAAATCTGTTGTTTGGTTTCAAGATCGCATTCATATGCAATTCTTTATTGTTCATGACATTTAACTTAGGCTATGTTAAGTTTGAATTTGGATTAGAACATAAAAATCTAAGTGAAACAATTGATGATAATATATGTAGCGAAATATTTTACTGAAGCCATGAAAGAGTGAATTGTTGAGATATATCTTTAAAGAAAGGTAGGCCACATTCTTCTTTCTCACTGTGATAATGATACCAATTCTAACTCCGAAATTACATTTGAAACTGTCACTATTGATTAGTATTTATTTACAAGTTAGAAACTAATGGTTCTAGAATTTTATGTCACTTATAACAGGTGACAGTATTGGGAGGTTTAACTATGTATGTACCTTGAGATCTTTACGTTACGGTAGATTGAGAGCCAGGCCACACGACTGGCAACGGCAGTGAACCCTCCGTGAGCCTTTACCACACGAGAGTGAGCGGTTCTTTTAGATGTGATAGGTGGCAAAGAAATTTGTTGCTGCGAAGTAATGAGCATTTCTGCTTGAAACCTCTTTTTTTTTTGGATAAACTCCATGTGTATTTTTGCGACTTCTCACATTATTATTCCATGGACTCTTTTTCACTACATTGCAATTCAACAGAAATTTCTCAACACTATGGATTCACAAATCACTCTCTTGATCTGTATTGTCGCGACTTCTCACATTATTATTCCATGGACTCTTTCCCACTATATTGCAATTCAACATAGACATTTCTCCACACTATCGATTCACAAATCACTCTCTTGATAGACTAGATATCTATTTGCAGCTACTTTTCACTCCCGAAGCACTACGAGCCGTGTGATAGAGGTTTATCTTCTAGCTAGGAGATTAGTGCCGGTCATTTGGCAGCAGCGGGCCCCAGAACCTCATGTTCTAGGAAGAACTCCTGAATATGCTTCGATTTATCCTCTTTCATCTAAAGAAAAATTCACTTTATCGGCGTCAAGGAACGACCTTACTCGCCCCGCAGTCCCATAGATCAGACTATAAGCTTTGCCATGTAAACTAATCATGAGTTTTTGCGTACTTATGGGAAGCGGACATTTCATGTGCCCTGGATAGCTATCAGAATTCGTTTGCCGTACCCTGTCCGATTTTTGGATTTCATTCTACATAAATGTTCTCATGTACGCCTTGAGTAAACAATTCGTATTTATTAGAATCATGCCCAGTTTCCGGAAGAGGCAAATTCGATGCATGCTTGTGTCATGACTAGGAAACTATGTACGACTCTGCTGAATACGAACGAAGCCAATACACTAATTTGAACCAACAAAAGTTTTCCGCGTATTCGAAACATATGTCCCCGTCATAATTTATCTCGACGGAAACGAGTAGACAATGTCAGTGCACTTGATTATGCTTCGATGTTGTACTAAAATGGAGACATTTATGATAAAACTTATAAGTTCACACAGAACTGAGGGAAGAGAAGAATTGTATACTGTAGCATGAAGAAGGGAAGACTCCATCATGGGGTGAACCTCATGAGTAAGATGAGACTATTCAAAAGTCGACATCCGTAATTTCGCAGTGTCATTCATATGACATGTGAGTTGTACTACGACTTTTTATTGGATGGTTTCATATCCTTCGTATATTTTAGTATTTGTCTTCGGAGTTTTCATTTCCTAGGGTCACCATACGAATTTATTATTATGGGATCGACAAATGGGATGACTGCAAGGGTTTAGGCTTTTGAGTGTATTTAGGTGTACAAATTCTATTACATAAATGTGAAGTCCGGAATCCATCCATCATAATTTGTACTTTTTGGTATCACAAGCGTAGACATTTATGTATCAGCTTTTCCTTCTAACGATTGTATGGGATTTGTAGTTTTCTTAGTCATTATCTCTTGTGGCACGAGCCAACGTTTGGTCTTCGAACAGCAAGTTTTCACGGTCGAGATTCACCATGCGAATTTACTCACATCCGATCTTAATTTAAACTTGCAGCCCGAAATAGAGATCACTTATAAAATAAACTTATATAGAGATCACACGAAACTCTGAGCTGATAGATCCTCGTACCTGAGGGAGGAACTAATTTTTTTATCTGGCAATATAATCCAAATCGTGCGATGATTCGGTTCGATTATTTTGTGGAGATTGTGCTTAAATTTGGAACAGAATTTTGTACGAGGTCCGAGACTCTTGTATGATTCACATCCATCATTCTTGTAATGAAACGAAGATGCTTATCTCATCTTCATCTTCTCGAACTCAAAGGAAAGATGAAAAAAAATTATTTATTATCGACATATATGGAGCATAGAAATTACTCGGAGTTTGCACATTATGTACATGAATCTTAATGGTTAGTGACAATAGATTCCAATTAACAACACCAGTTCTCTTGGAGTCAAATTCATAGATTACAATTGAAGGTTGTCTACTTTTAAATTATGCAAGATTTATCATTAAACACAAATTGTTTATATACCTCCAAGCATAGATCTTGAGTGATTTTTTTATCAGACATATAAACATCATTTTGGTTATGTTTTTGTTGGTTCACTTTGGTATCTTCTTACCTAAACTGTACAAGTACAGAATTCACTACACCCGTTAAACATATATAGCTATACAATAGAACCTCCAATAGTGACTACCTTGGGACCTCAAAGTAGGTATTCAATATCAGAGTTTATTACTAGCAGAGGTAATGCTTGGGAAGCTGTCCGCATAGTAACGCTTTGAGAGGCAAATGAGACTCAAAATTTGCGATGCTAGGACGTCTACTCGGTAATGCGTGGACCCACTCATAGAATCGACCACATTTTTGCCACGGCATCTTTCCCATCGGAACATTTACTCTGCCGCAGCATCTGCTCCGTCGGGGACTACTTGACCCACTTCCATGGACAGAAATCTACAACATGAATGATACGAGACTTTTCTTCCACATGCTTGTCAGCCCAATCCAAAAATGGGAGTTATCGTTAGCTTTTTCTTCAGAATAGGCTAACATTTGTCGCTTCTCCAGGCGAACAACTCGTCGGCAACGAAGCAATTGGAGGACTGTAAGGCACAAAAGGAGCGGATAACACTTGCAGTTTACTACAACAGCGACGGCAGTGACAAGTCGACACTTAGGGTCATCGGAAAGTTTTATAAACCGCGGTGCTTCAAGAACTTGAACATGGAGAAACTCGGCTGCATGTACTATTTGAACTTGGAGGCATGGATGATCCAAGTCATTTTACTCGAGTAAATCAAGTGGTTCGACCTTAGGATGTTGAAGAGGAAAGTGCTGCTCATCCTTAACAACTGTAGTGCTCATATTCTTGTCGACAGTCTTCCTCAGCTGCGTAACACAACCGTCAACTACCTTTAGTCAAACACAACATCAAAAATCCAGCCTTGCAATGCATGTATATTTTGGAACTTAAAAGCTGATTATCGCCGTCGGTTCAACAAGAAGATACTTCTGCGTTTGGATTCAAGCATTCCAAATCCAAAAAAAATTGACATTCTTGAAGGCATCCAAATGGCCGTTGCAACATGGACTTCGGATGTCAAGCCGAAAACAAACTCCAACTGCTTTCACCACTATGAAATCCGTTTGGAGTACACCGGGCTGCCCCAGTAACGGAAGACATGGTAGAGCCAGCAGTTGAAGTCATCAGTGAACTAGAAAGCCAGATTCGTTGGTCCGCTATGAGAATCCTATGAACATTCAAAACCTACTGAACTACCATGACGAAGAAATTGTGACGTACACGCCGACTGAGGAGGAGAACGTTGCAAACCTGAAGAAGCCGGCTGTCGAGATTCCTGGCCCTAAGGAAGAGGACGACATTGAAGAGCTTCTAAAAATTTGCCCCGACGATGCCATTTTCATGCTTGAGAAGCTTCAACACTTTTGGCTTTAGCAATGGGGAATCCGTCCAGAAAATCTGTTGTCAATAAGAAGCATGATGGACGTTGCTTGCAAGATTCAAAATGAGAAGTTGAAGCAAACCACATTAGATGGGTTTTTTGCTAAGAAATAGGCCACATGTGATAGATGTTTGCTGTCATATTTACTAAGAAAATATTAGGGACTATACTGATTATATATATTATTCACTATTAGAGAATGGAGGTTTTTTACTAAGCTGCATATATCCGAGTATCGGTAGCCAAAGATTTTCATGAAGTACCGGAGTTTATTTGCTTCTGGAGTATTGCGCAGCGCAGCGGAGGTTCTACTGTCACATGCATTAAAGATAACAATTCATGAAAAATTGTTAATATAATCTAAAAATTGGATTATTTTTTCTATTTATTAAAAAATGCACGAAAATAATCCGAGTTGGAAAGTAATTTTTTTAAATAATTATTAGAAAAAATAATATTTGAATATAATATTTAAATTATTTTTTACAATAATTTTTTAAAAAAATATTATATTTAAGAAAATTATATGATTTTCCTTGTAAAATTAAACCTCCAAAATTGCTAGATAACTCCTAATTTAAAAACCGGGAAAATCAATTAACTGCAGTTGACTCCATGCTGTTTCATCAGTAAGTTCTTCAAAACATTCTGGATAAACAAATCACATATAGACTTGAAATTCGTTTAATTTGCATTTCACAGAACGCATCACTCTTTGTTCTTACAAAATGCACGATAATTTAAGTCAAACAGTGCTTTTTATGGAGTCCGCGATCCGAATGATTATATTCTCGACGTTCACGACAGAATGTGATATCCGAATCTCTCGCAGCGAAGGATGAAAAGTGGCGATGGCGATTAGACAAGCGAGGCATCGAGGCAGGATGAGGGTACGAGGGTACGAGGGAGCAGCCCGTCGAGCGCAAGTCAACAGGAGGCGCTCGAATAGCCCTCGAGAGGAGGAGGACGCCACGGCTCGTGGCGCCAGCATCTGCCATGGCTCGTCTCGGAGCGGTCGTCGCCTGCCGACCGCTCGCCGCGTCGCACACCCGGAACCTCGTCGTCCGCCCTCGCTGCCAGCGAACCGCCTCGTATAAATGCCGCCCGGTCTCAGGTGCCAGAGAGAGAAAGGAATGCGCCTTCCTTCGATCGATCGATCGATCAGCTCAGTGCAGTGAGGGAGTGAGTGAGCGAGAAACCAAATCTCCATTCTCTGAGGAGAGCACTGCGTGACTGGCGGCATTTATGAGCACCGCATAGTCATGAGCGTGCCCGATCCGCGACACATCTCTCACAGTCCTCGTCCTCGTCCTCTGGGATCGTAAGAGCTCGCGGAGCTGAGCGTCCTTCCTTCGTCGATCGGTCCGCCATGTCTCTGTCCATGGCAATCGCCGGGGGCTTGCTCCTCGGGGGCACGGGCCTCGCGCCCTCGCGCCTCCCCGTTCGACTGCGCGCTGGCGCTGGCGCTGGCGCGGCCTTGCGCCCGCGGCCATCCTCGCGCGTCCGGGCCGCGGCCGCGGGCACGGGCGCAGGCGCGGGGGCGGTGCCCGATCCGCGGCAGTCGAAGCCGGGCCTCGGCCATCTCTTCGACCGCCTCAACGGCTCGCAGGCGCCCCCGACCTGGAGCGACATCGTCTGGCCGTCCGCAGGTCAGTCCTCCCCCCTCTCCCCATCACCTCTGCCACCAGCCAAATCGAAACGAATCGAACGACCCCCGAGACCGGGGCTTGCAGACGTCGTTGTTCCCGTGCAAGACTTCGGGGCCCCTCGATGATTTCACCTTCTTCCTCGGCGCGAACCGAACAACCGTAGTCGAAATCCTTCGAGGATTGGTCGCGCCACTCGAATTCCGGGATTCGTCATCGAAGAGAAGAGGAGGATGATTCGGAGAACGAGGGGAAGGAGGCTTGCGGAAAATTCCAATGCCGTCACCCACCGTCGTTGCATTCGCTCTTCGCAAAAATGCCAGTCGTCCAGCGGAGCAGAAGAGCGAATTCGTGCGACGAGTGTGAATTTCCGAGCCTCTTCGAAGGGGGAATTTGAGCAGTAGACGAGTGGGTGGGTGGGCTGCTGCCGAGCTGGAAGGAATTGGGTTGCGGGGAGGTGGACTCGAGAAACAAGTTTGCACTGCATTGAAATGTTTTGATTGTGATGGCGTTGTGGTGACAGGTGGATTCGTGGCCATGGCCGCTATGGGGTACGTAGACTCGGTGCTGGCTCCCAAGGGCCTCAGCTTCACCCTCGGCTCGTTCGCGGCCGTCTGCACGCTTTTGTTCGCTCTCCCCAAGGCGCCGGTGTCACAGGTGAGTCGGAACTGGCGACTCGTGATTTGGAGATGTGATGTTTCGGTGTTCTGATGTCGTCGGCCTGAATCGCGCTTGCGCGGGGTGAATTTGTACATGGCAGAAGTACAACGTCGTGGTCTCGCACTTGGGCTGTGCCGCCGTGGGAGTCGTTGCTCTGGCCATGTTCGGACCCGGCTGGGTGGCTCGAGCCGTCGCGCTCTCAGCTTGCATCGCTTTCATGCAGTTCACCGACTCCCTCCATCCTCCTGGTACGCAATTTCACCTGTGACCGGCACCAAACATCGAGTCATCTCTCTCCCTCTCTGTGTTTGTTTCTCTCATCGACCGAATGCTTCGTTTGTTGATGGATGATGGATCGTTCGCAGCCGCAGGGTTGCCCCTCATCATGATCGATGCTCCCAAGTTCCATCAGCTGAGGTGGTGGTACGTCCTGTTCCCCGGTGTCGTGGGCTGCCTGTTCTTGTTCCTCCTGGTGAGTGCTCGTCATCTGATCCATCCCTTCGCTTTCTCTGCCTGGTTGAAGAGAGAGAAAGAGAGAGAGTAGTTGACACTGGCACATTGTGAAACGTCTGTGCAGCAAGAGGCGGTACAATGGCTGAAAGAGAACTGCAAGTTTTGAAGTTTCTGAAAAATTCGACGACGCTTTTCATTCGATTATCCGACGCTGTAAAGTAAAATTTCATCATTCTACGAGACGCTAAGCGATCATGTATTTATACATCACGAGGAGAAACGAGATTACGCAAGAGTTCCCCTCCCTTCCGGTAACGCAGTGAAGCAAGCGTATTAGTAGAGCCGTGATATGCTGCTTGATTCCATGTACAATTCCGCAGCGCTGCGTTTATCACGATCTGCGCATCCAACACCACGCAAATATTGGACCATCGTTATAAAGTGGAGGGTTTTTGGCTATGGCGGATAAACATCATGTCCTCGTGATTGCTCCCAATGTCGTACATGTCCAGATGGCTTCATTGTCTCTTAGGCGATCCTTCCAATTCTGAAATTCCTCGTGCATGGGGAAAGAATTTGTGATCTCTCACGTGCCAGGAGGATTAAGGAGAGAAGACGCCATCGAGGATTAAACGAATTGGCAAACGGATGCTATCATCATGTTAAGTATACGTTACATGGAATGTTTCATATTACGTTTTTTTCAAGCCACTTTTGTACGTGAACGTACTTTATAGATCTTCGAGAAGGATACTCTTTGCATAGCAGTATATATTGGTCATCGAAGAAAAATGTAAATATGGCATCTTTATAAAACATTTATATCCTTCTTTTCGGCTAATAGCCAAAAGTATTGTGCATATTTCACGAACATGTTAAGCTCCCAGTGCAAAGGGTCATGCAATTTCTCTGCTAATAACAACGTCATATCATTGTAATTAACACATCTTTGCAGGCTCAATGAAACTAGCAATTTTGCATGCGAGAGTACGTAACTAACATGTAGCCATGTGATTGAAAAGATAAGGCAGTCTCAACGCCTGTGCATTTTGAAGTATATTACGAAGACTTACATGCCATAAGTTCAATACATCAGTAATATATTGTACTCAAACCAGCATAAACCATCAAGATCTATGTAAATGTTTTCATCAATCATTATTCCAGATTATCGTAAAACAAGTCAGAATTGTCTGAATTAATCAAAGTAAAAAAAAAGAAAAAAGGAAGCAACAAACTTCCCACCATGCTCCAAATTCTAAGTTTTATTCATCATTCGACGTGACAAATATACAAGAGGAATGTCCCTTCTCTTCCATACTCAAGTACTTTCCTGCAGATCGACTCCCTGCAGCATTGCACTCTGTTGCGACTTATCTCAACCACATCAAAGAAGTTTAATCTTTAGTGAAGTCCATCTTTTCACTAAAAAACAATATCGCGGGAATTATCAATACGGGTTTCGAGACTTTCTCTTCAATTATTGTAATATGTAGAGTAATCCCTTGTGTACTGCAAGAAACTACGGCCAGCCGCCACCGCCCCTACCAATCTGAAATGGAAAAGATCATGTAAGTGTACAAGTGCACAAAAGAAAAGAAGGGCTCAAGGACAGCAAGAAAAGTGGAAGGACACAAATTCAAGGAGGGGAAGTTAAATATCACAATACTTTCAATGAAGAAAACGATTCCGTTTCCTCTTTATGTGTGGTCTTGTAGTGTCTTGAGATTCCATTGAATTGTGATGCTCTATTTTCCATATGGTTCATCTAAAGACACTCCAATGTAACTGGACTTGAAGAATCTTGGAGATATTGAAAATATTGTATCACCATATATCCCGATTCACCATTTTACTCGTATAGCACGACACAACACACACCACCTCCCCATAACCAACAAAGAAGAAATTCCGCGTGTCATCATGTGTCTCCTCACAACCACATCCAAGCGCAAACTAGAAAAACTTCTAGTCACGGTTTTTAGAGCCAACACATAAATTTTGCTTACTTTGTTTATGTGCTTGATAATTCAAAGTATAATAAAAATCATTGTTCAATGATGACCAACTAAACAGCAAAAATGAAGTAGAATACCAACAAATTGATACTGCAATCTCGTATAATTGAACTAAAAATATAATCCCTAATTAGGACTAATATAGCAAAAATCAGGCTTAAATGACTATTTTAATTTAATTTACTTTATTTTTTTGAGGCAAATGTTTTTTCTATTCCACTACAAAGTCGAACATAAATACCGCTGCACAATCAAGCAAGCTTGTGCAAGCTGCCAATACCATTTTTTGTTTTCAATACCTGATAAAATTGCTAACTACTTGATTAACTACAGATGAAAGTAGCAAGTGATGGTCACTAGTAGTTCCGTGCAATTCTTGCAGCACGTTGGGAAAAGAATACACATGCATGATCCGATTTGTAGTGGAACTGTCTGGTTGCCTTGAGCACACCTTACGAATGATAATTCTCACATCGTGCAATCTTAGTTGATGCCATCCAAGCCAAGTCGAGTATCGCATCCCATATGCGCTGCTCCAAGAGTGTTGGCGGCCACCGGTGGTTGTGGAAGATGAAGTGATTCATATAAATCCCTAGCACCCATGGAATCGCTCCCCTCCTGGGCGTCCAAGATCAAGAGAGGAGCTGCGGTGGCAGTGGCTCTTCGAACACGCATTACTCCTAGCACTAATTAACCCACGACATGCTTGTAGCTGGGAAGTGGGCCGCCTTGTGTAATACTATCATCGTAAAATTTCATGATTGTAAAGCCATTCTGCAAGTGAAAAAATAGTGAAGGAATGATTTGGGCTCTCCTGGATCACAACACGCACATAGCTCAGAGACCTCCGCAAATGCTATGTGGCGCCATTGATTCACTGCCACTACGTCGTCGTGGAATTTATTTGAGGCTTGAGACTACAAAGTACTTAGTGTTTTGTGTGAGTATACATTAGGGAGCAAAATTATAAATAATGTGGGTGCTATGTGGGTATACTATAACAAGAGTTGAGTGTAGTACCACTTTCAAGTTGTAATGCAAACTCTAAGATGTGTTGTACTAGAGTTGAGTGTACAACATACTTTCAAGTTATATTACAAAGTGGTATCATGTGAGTTGAGGGTCAACGTACTTCCAAGTTGTACTACAAAGTTGTATCACGTGAGCTGAGTGTAGTACAAACTTCCAAATTGTACTACACTTATTCCAAACTTTGCGTTTTCACAGGTGGCGGCTCGAGTGTTTCTGTGTTTCTTTTAGGATTGTGTGCAATTTGAGATTTCTTTATTTTTCTAGTTGATTTGACATTGAATGTTATGGAATTTGACGGAGCTTACAAGAGTGGTTGGTAGACAAATGTGTATTTTTCTTCAAACTACATCTTTTTGAGAGAAGAGTGATCTTAGGTACAGATTAACATAATTTCAAAGCATTCTCAAATTTTTTTATCAATTGTAAAGTGGAAAATGAATTATGTTTCAATTTTTGTTTCAAGTCTAGATCATATGTAGATTGAATGTTATGAGTGTTGGAAATTAAGGGAATTTCAAAAGTACCAAAACTTTGCTCTCAAACAAATTTGTACAGAGTAAATTATTTAAATTTTGATTTTTCATTCAAAACTTTGATAAAGTGTTTATTGGAAGATAAACTATCTGTCAAACTAAATTTTACTAAGACATCGTGTCAAATAAAAAGTTATGTTTTTTTGAAGTTCACAAGGTACAAAACCAAGAAAAGACATCAAAATTTTTGCATTTATTTATTTGCAGTTTTCTTCATGTAAAAAACATTTTTCTGAGTGTTTTTACCTTATGGAATTTTTGTATTAGTGTGATGGATTTTTGTTGCTAGCAGCCATAGACCCGATGCTTCATAGAGCAGTTTTTTTTCACCAGAAAGCGTGGTGATATATATCTTATAAAAATGTTGCTTCTTTTTGCAGATGTGAGCTTATCCGTACATTCTTCCAGTTTGGGATGAACGACGCAGGTAGCAATCCAATCCATTTCCTTCGGACGGTCAAGAAAAGATGCGTACGTGGTTGATATAGAAGCAAATCCTTCATAGCTATGTATGTGTAGAATTGATCACCTCCTCGCCAACATTATCGGTTTGGATCGAAGACAAGCCTGCATAGTGGAGCCAAATAATACCGTCAAGGATTTGAACGTCGATGAGGATGGCTCTAAAAGGAGGTGACTCGAATGCGTAGGAGAAGTTCACCATGGACTTGATAGTCCGAAGCTGGCGCTTGAACTAGAAGAATTCACCTTGATCTTGTAACTATAAAATACCTCGGAAACCTAGCTAGGAAAATTGTGGTTGTTATCCCAACGTGAATGGGGGAGCAATGCATTTGAAGTCTGCACGATGATGGAGGTATCTGCCTCCAAACAATTTTGGAATATGCCTAGCCTTTCCGAGACCACACCTTGCGCGGTTGTTTGATTGTACAAATTAATCCATGCTTGTGAAATTTGAATGTGGAAGCCTGCGATCAATGCTTTCTCGGTGATCAACAAATTAAATTGATGTTGAATTGCATTCCATGAACAAGGTGTGATACTTCAATCTTCAAATAATTTTTGAAGGCTCAAGAGGCCTTGGCTAGCCAGAACACGCATGCGACGCTCCGTAAACCGGAAGTTTGATTTCACAAAGTGTATTGTCCATCAAAGTTGCGTGTTCATCACCTCATCCACGTTCACTAGTCGGATTGGTTCTAGTAGCAAACTTGTGGAACTTCACGCTTGCATGAATTGATCCCATATGAAAAAGCCTCGAGTAGATGAAAAGCAGGCCTGAAATGTTCATTGGATATTGCAGTGCCAGTTACAAGAATCTGGTGACTGCATCCTAAAGATTCGCTGATGTAATAGTATATTCGTCATGATATCTTTTACAGTTAAGGCTCACATTTTTATTTTTTTGGTGAACGTCAAATAAACTTCATGCGGATCAATCAATCCCAAACTCCCATGAACTTGTCTAGGCAGGAATCTGTCCATCAAACGTGGGCTGGTCAAGGAATTTGTTGTGGTCAAGGAATGTTTCTCATTCCTTGACCACAACAAATTGCAAAATGATGCTCGAATGGTGTTCAAAAATTGTCTTAGAATTGCTTTATAAACTCAAGAAATACCATAGCATCGACAGTAACACGAAGTTCACAATCATTGCCTGAGTTGCCAGGGAGAGTTGTATAATCGACGAGTACCTCAATTTTGGGTCATTTTTCTTTGCAAGAAAAACATCAAAATATGTTTTAGTGAGAAAAATATCATAGAACGTCACGAGTAATTTAGACAAGGAATTAGGTGGGGCAATCTCACAACCAAAGCTTTGTACGCACCGTGGTGGAATGCCTTGGCCATACCAATATATGACACACTTTTCTCTATTGATCATGAATCTAGTGGTCAGTCCAAAGTCCTAAAGCAGATTAGAAACGGCAGTGAAGTTCCTCTTAGTTCCTAGTATGAGATCCGTAGTATCATCAGCAAATTGCGACACCACTTGTTGAGAAGCGCCGTCGGAGAGCAGGATTACTCTTAGTTTGCAAGTTAATATCTTGTGGTTGGAGACGATAACTAATATTTATGTGATGACAAGGAATAGATTAGGGACGAGGAAACATCTTGCCGTGCCCCTTGCATGATCGGAAACTCTTTTGTGCTGAGGTTGTTGATGGACAAAGCTTCTGTTGCATCCATCTGCAGAATCTGAACCATCTTCACAAAAAAGTCCGGGATGCTCATCTTCGTCATGAATTTGAACATAAAGTTTTAGCACATGATGTAGTAGGCCTTGTAGAAGTCCAATTTAAGCATGATGAGCTCCTGATCAGATTCATGGTTTCAGTTGACCGTCTTATTTTATACCTAGACTGCATCCAATATGTATTACAAAGGTAGAAAAGTAGCATGCTCTTCGTTGATGAACTCGGAGAATGAAGCCTAGAGCTGCAATTAAAGTAATTTTGCTCATATTTTAGAAAAATTGTTCAATAACATTATTGGTTGTCAGTTTTGAATCATCTTCAAGTCGACTTCTTTTGGGATAAGCACAATCAGTTTGGTGTTCATAAATGGTGGCAATCATTTGTTGGCGAGAGCATTTGTACGCATCTGGTAGAGTGTGGATACTATCACATTCCAAAATCTTAGATAAAATTTTGAAATGACGCCGTTGGAGCCCGAACTTTTTCCTGCAACTACTTTTTAAAACGTCGCAAGAAGATTTTGATTCCTCCGGCATCCTGCCGAATTCTTCAAGGATCGAAGGTGAAAATTTGTTTGTGAATGAGGCCGGTATTAAATCGAGGAATGTGGCCGTTCAGTGACGTTTCTTTTTTCCGGAACAACGTACAAGTCTCATTAGTATGACAATACTTGAGTCTCGATATCTTTGCAGCTTGTGACACAAAGCCCATTTTGATCATGAAGTTCTATGATCTTAGTTGTGAAACTCCGTTCGCACGCCGCTTTGAAATAACTCATTATTAACTTGATCATCATGCTATTTCCAACGGATTCTAAAGCGTGCCTTACTACCTATCAATTTTTGATCCTGGACATTTACAAGGTGCGTGTGCTATGCATCACGTTGTTTCATGAGAATGACATCTTCTGACAACTTCTGTGTTCTCTTTGTTGGTTAATCTAATTGTGCAATAAGAACGTCTTCATCAGTTCTCAGCTTTGTCGTTTGGAGACGGAAAAATTGACGATATGATCGAATCACTTTAAGAGCTTAGAAAAAAAATGTTGAATCTAGGTTAGCATCTAGTCAGAACTTTTGAATGTTGAGAAACGATTCCTCCAATCAGTTTTTGTTCATTTTCCAATGAGTTTGTCTGAGAGGTTGCTTAGCTAGCTAAACCGACGCAAATACTAGATGGTGATCAAAACTCGATAGGATACTCTTGATGCTATTCTTTGAAGTTCTTTGAATTTTTGGATCGAGTTGGTCGATTTTGTCTTGAGTTTTATTTGGTATCTTCTGAATTGCGACGGTTCTATCTTGCGTAATTTGGGATCATGAACTGCCTGGTCTGGGATCTTGAGAGGAAAAATCTAAGCTCTTTTCAACGAAATCGTTCACCGATGGAAGGTGGAAGGCAATCTTGAGTCGGTTGAAGTTAGTGTGTAAATCATTTCCGGAAACTTCTTTGATTAAGGGGTGTTTGGTGAAGCTTATTTGTGGAGTCAGCTTTGAGGTTAGTCATGAAATTTTATAGAACATGGTACGTCCATGATGATGTGTGCTTTGTGTTACACTATAGACTATGGAGAAATCTGCAATGTACACGTCATTATGGATTGTTAAAATTTCATGTAGTTGTTTTTGTAACTGTAAAGTATTTGACAATGCTTGGCAGTACATTGCAAATGTGCGGAATTTGTAGCTAATCTACATGTTCTCTGATGGTAAGAATCTTGGTTTTTGCAAGCAAGTTCGTAATGAATGAGAGAACGTGTTGAGTTAGTTGTTTGAGCTCTAAAGAAGTATAGTATGTCTAAACTCGCAAGTGTACAATTTTGCTACAATCGATTGTTATTCAATGAGTACTTAAAGCTACTTGCAGAACGGAAGTTGTTATCAACGTAGATAGACTTCATAACATCAAACAGATCGTGTTCTCGGTGGAAAATCATCATGGCTCCATGTCTCAATTTATTGGTTCAACTCTCCATCATGTTGAAGTCAGCTAGCAGCATCCAACGACCAAGTTGAGAGAGTTTCTTTGGCAATAATTACCATAGAAGACAACGATCAATCGATTTGTTTGGTAAATATGTATTTACCATTCCAACCTCTCCACCCAGCATGCTCTATGCATTGAACTTTATTAACAAAGAGAGAGTTTGATTGTGTCGCATTTCTAACTAGTCATGAGTGTAGTTATATCAGAACTTCGTTGCAACCTGCTCTAATATCTTGCTCGTCATGGCTATAAACAACAGACGTCTCCATAACTCTTAACCTACAGGTGTAAATGCATTATCCAAAGTTCATGCTCATGAATGGCTATCAAATCTGAAGTAGTATTGTACTCTTGGATGTAGGCCCCATCATGTACATGGCCATATCCTCATTGAGGCCACAAACATTGATTGACAATAGCTGTACAATCACAATGCTCATGGAGAAATTTCAGCATCTCAAACATGCGGGATGAATGGATGCATGAAGTTCCATACATTGTATGTGGGAGACGTATTGGACTTGACAATGACTTTTTGTCTAGCAGTTGCGCGCATTTCACGTGCCGATGATGTGTTGGCCACTGTGACGTCTTGTGCCGTTCATACATTGAGCCTGACCTTGCGAGAAGGTCAATTGATTGAGGAAGAGTCAGGACAATGTCGTCATCAATTCTTCCAACGATTGGCTGTGGCGCTTCAGAGTCATTTAGCGGTTGACTTTCTAAACCTCTCCTCGGTGGTGATGTGTTAATTGGATGAAGGCTTGTGCTTGCGTCTTCAAACACCTCCGTATTGCATGACGTTTTGAAGAAACTTGGTTACATTCCAGATCATGGCGGATGTGAGCTTTTGAATTCGGTCGGCATAGGAATTATAGTTGGTGGCCCTTTGTTTTGTTATGGCAGCCGGTGCTTATGAATCATTGACAATTGCATAGTTGCTGTTACTTCAATTTGACTCACTGCTTGATTGAGTAGGAGCTAGAAGTCAGCACATTCCAAATGGAGCATGGGTTGGAAGTCATCACTTGAGTCAACATCCATCGCATTTTGGCCCACATGTGCACTCGTAGCATCTGTGGTGTCAAAGGAGAAAATTACGTTTTGATTGTTTGATTGTCGAGTGTCGTTGCATTTGTACGGTTTTTTCGTTCGATAAACTTTCTCCCATCCATTCCATTCGTATTCAGTGGTCACCGTGATTCACCATTTGCGTAATGAATCCCGCCGCGATCTATTTTGTGGAGTGAATCATACGAATGAAGGTAGGGATTCGCTGTACTTAGTGGCATCTGCATCCTGCATGGAAGTATGTATGTATGGCATCCGGCCCATAACTAAGCATCGGGATGAAGTACTCTAGTGTGTTAGACTTTCTAATATAGTGGAATCTACTCGGTGACTAAAGCTTGTGAATCTTCAACCAAGTTAAAGGAAATTGTGCCGTGCAACAAGAGACCTTGATGATTGCAAAAGGTTCCACGTGAGAAATTTTTTTACTCTTTGCGACAAAATGGATTTATTGTGCCTCTGCTAAAAGGCGTAATGTCCAACATTGTGCGAAGTAGACTCATTCATGTTGCAATATCTATTGCATGCGGTGTGTGACCTTGGACAGTTGACCGTTGCAATACTTGTATGTAGCTCCGACTCGACGACACCATGGTGCACTAACCCTAGACTTCCAAAATAGGTGCAAATTGAACCCGAAATCTACTCCAACTGCTTGTCACAACTATGAGTTCAAGAATACCATGAAGTAATACCACAATTCGAAGTAACATAAAATCTATCTTCAATTGCTTATTACCAGAAAAAAATAGAAAAAATGACAGAAACCTATCAAATGTCCCATATTTCCCTCACATGAGCAACATAAAAGTATGATTCATGCTCAAGAGCGCTTGATAATTTGATAGGTTGAAGTATCATAATAACTATCTTATTTCTTATGGCTGAATAAATAGAGAAAAATACGAAAGACCCATGAAGTGTCCCATCCTTCCCATACCCTTCAACATAAAAATGTAAAATCCCACTAGGACGATTAAAACACTATTCATGCTCAAGAGCGCTTGATGATTTGATAGACCGAAGTATCATAATAAGTAGCTTCGATCCCTTAGGGTCGAATAAATAAATAAAAGTAGGGAAGAGCATTATATGACCCTTGGGAATTAAAATATGGATGCCGATTAGGACGATCAGAGCGAAGCGAGTGAGTCAGCAGATCTGATCTATCTACCAACCGCGCTCGGCCCGTACGGAGAAGAGTACGACCGGTAGAGGTGGAAGCACAATCTCAAAGGGCATGCCCACGGCATGTCTAATTCGTATTTTGCATACGATGCATATGTATAGACAAATTTATATGTATATTTAAGAATTATTGATGTATATTTTAGAGTTACAGAGTGTGGGGTATAATCAATAAAACTATTGAAAATTTGATAATTGCGCTCGGTGGTAAAATTTTACTTTCAATTGACGAAGGGTTTTTTTATGATTCTTTAACTAGACACTTGGAGATTCTGCTCTAGCCTGTTCTGGGAAGTATATTTTCGGATACGTAAAACATATTTATTGTAATACGGGCATGCTGGGGCATGGGCATGCCCCCAAAAATTTTGTTGTGCCTCCAATACTACCGACCGGACGGGCGCGGACAACGAGTCCCGGTCCGCGTGTCGGGAAACTCGTCCGCTCCCGCAGCGTCTTGTGTCCGAGTGGGCGCGGGGCGGGCACGGGGCAGGGGCAGCAGCTGATGCAGCTCAGAGTCCTTGATCGATGGAGCCCATCGACATTTCGCTCAGCGGCATCGAGTTTCTTGCTCTCGGTGTGTCGAGAAGATGCAGTCGCTGAGAATCGACGGCGACAGCGTCGGGGGTTGCGTATAATTTTTCGACGCGCTCGATTCTTTCCTCCTGGTTCTTCATGTCTTCTTCTTAATTCTCGTCTTCCTTTTCTTCTTGCGGGCCGAGGCCGTCGAGTCGGGAGGGAGGGAGGGATAGTAGAAATTTGGAAACAGAGATGACGAGGGTCTGTTAATTATGCCCATCTCAACCGCATGAGCAGTTTGTCTTCTTCGTTGACCAGGTTTTCATTCCGACTCCGCAAAATCGAGGTCGGGGTTTTTGTCGAGAGACTGGTGGGGGTGATACATGGCTCTTTTGGCCCCGTCTTTGCTGCGTGTTAAGGTTTGGCGCCCCTGCGACGGCTGCAGTAGCAGCCTGTTCAAGTCGTCCGTGCTACAAGTTTCCACTTCTGAGCTATTCATAACGAAACATTTAAGAAGAAGGGTAGGAAGCGGGGGTCGATTAAGATGCGTCAGAAGTGGACCACGCTCTGGTGACATTTTGGAACCACAGAATTCTTACCCTAGTGGAAATTTGAATGAAAAGAATGGTAAAGGAAATAGTCGAGATAGCTACGAGGGCTGTACGTCAGCACCCGGAGTCAAATCGGAGACGGCGGCCAACAGTATTGACAGCTACGAAGGGGACACTATGAATGTGGAAGCATCTCCTTGGAAGAATGTTTTTCCTGCTTACATGCAGAGCAAAGAGGACGAAGAAGAGTCGGAAGAAAGCGTAAATGAGCCCGTTTGCAATCCCCCTAGCTCAAGAGGAGCTGTGAATGGAGTAGTTGCAGCGAAAGCAGCAGCTGCCGCTACTGCCTCTGCTAAAGAATTTGAATCTCAATTTGGGTCAATTTCGACTCCCCTTCTGACATCTCAATCTACAGCCTCAGCAGCTCGCAAAAACCTGAAAGATTTAATATCTCATGATCCAATCTGGGCTGCGATTAGAGCTGAGGCCAGACTTGAGGTACGAGAATTGGAAATTTGTTTTTCAAATGGTCTGCTCTTGGCCTACTCTGTTGTTCATCGTCCGATACACAAAAATTTCAGAATCACCAATGTAATGTACTCCCTTAATAAACACTTTTACGTCATTGTGGCAGGCAGAGCGAGAACCACTACTCAGTAGCTTCCTGTATGCAAGCATACTGGCTCACTCGTGCTTCGAGCGCTCCCTGGGATTTGTACTCGCAAACCGTTTGAAAAACGCGACACTACTGGCCACACAACTCCTAGATGTCTTCGACGACGTGTTCATGAATGACAGCTATGTTGTACAGGCTGTAAGATTAGATGTGCAGGTATTCAGGACATTGTGTTCGTTTTGTATGTGGCTGGGTTGGATCTGCTTATGAATTAAGTAACAATATGCATCTCTCATCGTCGACTATTTTCATGAACTTCTAGAACTGTATCATGAGCTATGTTGTCCCGTTTGATCAGAGATAGTGGAACTTTTTTGGTTTTTTTTGGTTTTCTTTCTTCTTGCAGCTGGTTACATTTAAATATTAGAGAGCTAAAATGGGACAGTTTTCTCCAGGCAGTTAAAGATCGCGATCCATCCTGCAGATCTTACAGTTCGGCTCTGCTGTACTTGAAAGTGAGTAATTCTTAGTAATGAAGCCCCTTTTTGGAGTCTATTTGTTTCTGGATTCAAACGTACCTTGTGACCTTTCATGTTGTACTCAAATCCTTGGGCTCATCACAGTAGAGCACAGCAGTAAATTTCAATCTCATGTATGTTAGCAAACATCCATTAAGCACTTTGTTTCAGGTTGATTCAGTCCGCGTTTTGCAAGCTTGCGAACGTGTGTAGACACCTACAACTCAAATGATTGTGTAGGATATGTGGGCATTCTTGTGGTCGTGGACGTCGATGGTCTGAAAATGACTGCATTCATAGGAAGCAATGTCATTTTCTAGCCAGTTATGGTGTTCAAAGAGTGACTTGTATTTGTAATCAGTTTTTTCCTGTCGTTGAAACTCTCACTGACCGTTTTTTTATCTAGGGCTATCATGCTATTCAAGCGTACAGGGTGGCTCACGCATTGTGGAATAGAGGTCAGAAGGTTTTAGCCTTGGCATTACAGGCACGAATCAGTGAGGTGAGTCTTGTAGTAATCGGCTGTGGTGAGTCATAACGATAGACGACTTTATTTTGGTGAAATTATATCTTCAAGATCCCTGGTCATCAACGTGTTGCTGATAGTGCTGTTTGTTTTCAGCTTTCTGGCTCGAGTCAGAGCCCCTGAAAGCTGATCATGTACGAACCCTGAAATAAGGATGCATTTTGAACTTGTTATTGTTTCTTATTTCATGCAGGTATTTGCAGTGGACATCCATCCTGGTACTCTTGATTCCAGCTGCTTCTTGAATAGTGAATACTATCTGTCGTTTGATTCATGATTGTCAGTATGTTTGTAGGTTCAATTTACCTTCACATCTAGTATTTAACGTATCGTGAACGTCACCACTAATGACATACGATGCCTTCAAGTGCACTTTTGGACTTCGACCAATACTGGAGCTCCGAGCATGAAAGTATGCTTGTAAAATGTTCTTATCACTCAACATATTTACAAATTATTATTCTTTGTGAACAGCTGCGCGTATAGGGAAGTCCATATTGCTGGATCATGGCACAGGAGTTGTCATTGGAGAGACCGCAGTAGTTGGTGATCGTGTTTCCATGCTTCAGGTAACGTCTGAAGAACATGGTTCTCTCCTTGTCACAATCAGACGTCTACTCTTACCGGCTCTGGTACACCTTTGCAGCAGTTATGATAGGAATTATTTGTCATGGATGTAGCACGTCAAGCTTGGAATCTACAGTCACTTCCTCGGGATCTGTCAAAACCGGAAGTCTAGCTTTACCTGTACTCTGTGATTTGGCTTTGAGGCATCCACGACAGCACATCAATTTGAAACTGCTTCTTCGGCATTTGATCTGTGATGTGCAGGGTGTTACATTGGGTGGCACAGGGAAAGCATCAGGAGACAGACATCCCAAAATTAGAGAAGGAGTGCTGATTGGTGCAGGAGCCACCATTCTAGGAAATATAGTCGTCGGAAAGGGTGCCATGGTCGCAGCTGGTTCTCTTGTATTGAAAGACGTTCCACCCCACAGGTCAGTCAAATGAGCTATTAAAACGTGAAAGCGAAAGTAGGCTAGGTTGTTATAAATTTTCTTGTTCTGACAATGGTGACAATGACGAGTGCAGTATGGTGGCTGGGACCCCAGCGAGAGTTGTTGGATTTTTGCAAGAACCTACACCATCTCTCACTATGAAACATGGTGAGTGCTTGCACACTTTACAGTTTATGTTTGAAACAAAGAAATAAAGAAAGAAATAAAACTAATCCTTTTATTGACTTTCACAATTCTTCGAGTTCAAGAGACGACAACAGCCTTCTGTTGTTATCCTTCTTCTCTGGAAGTTTGGGAAGCCTTTTTTATTCTACCTCTGTTGTTATTTTTCTTCTTCTCTACTCTTCTCTACTTCTTCTTTAGGTGAGTTACCGAATACATTGCCCGGAATTTGTCCCGGCTGCTCATGAAGAGACAGAAACGTGATGTGGATAACTGAATCCTCCCTATACCAAGCTATGTCGACACCTTGATTGGGCTCTTAGGGAATCATGGTGATTCTGTACAGCCGTGAATTTATGCTTGAGGTTTTGTCACCGGTGCTTTATTCATGGTGATTCGTGTATCATGGAAGTAGACTGTCGGCTTTGATACCACTCGAGTCCCTGTCCCACAGAAGATGCTACTTTGCTTTAGATTGCTGCGAATATCGTAATTAGATGTTTCGCCTCTCATTTTGTTGTCATTCTTGTGCTTGCATAGCCTATCTTCTACTTTGTAACATTACTCTTCGCGCGTGCTCCATGATGGTGTCTGTTCCTCCTGCTAGTCTTACCAATTGTGAGCTCGTCTGTTGGTTCTCCATCACAGTTATTTACCTCAAGACCTGGTTAATTGTTGCACATCTCATGTTGGATTAGCTGGAGAAGCTATTGCAGATAGCTTCTGCTTCATCTAAGATGCCGATTATCTGATAATAACTAACATCTAATCATCTAAGTGGTGTGATGTGTCGAGATCGATGAGCGTGTGTAATCTCTATGATGATTCATCAATCTCCATCCTCGGTTGTACCTCGCAGATGTCACAAAAGATTTTTGCGAAGAACTGGAAGAAGCAGTGAGGCGCCAATCACTGCTAGAGAATAGGCTGAGTGGAGGGGCAGGAATATGATCAAACAGACGTTTGGAACTGTGCTTTTGTTTTGCCCATTTGTAGGAGACAGGCGAGATGTACGATAGTTGATAGGTGTGCTTCAAATACGATGTCGGATTTCTTCGCTTGCAGATTGATGTAAACAGGTGAATATATGACTTACACTTAGTGTTAAATAGACATGTATTTCCTCCTCTCAAGATGGATGATTTGTTACGGGCATAGTTTACATATATTATAACTGGATAGTATTCTTCATCGATGATTTCAGAAATAGGGGGGGAACGATATGGGAATTGTCGGTGGAAGGCAGCTGAATCACTTGTACGGAATTTTTTTGTTAAAAGATCACTGCAGTATTTTAGTCAGCTACGATACCCTTTGGCCACTGATGTGATCTGATCTGCCAGGGCTGGAGAGGATTCAGTTGACAAAGCAGTTTGGCATCCACGAAGTCTAGGAATATGTTGCAGTTCAGGGTGCTGCTGTAAATTCATGTAATGCAACTGTTCCAAAACTTTCACCTTCCGCCTGGTCGTCTCTGTGCTTGTGCATGTCACGAGAATCATGAACCAAAAGTATGAGGAATGAATTCAGAATCAAGTATGTACTAATATGGTAAATGGTAAATAGATCAAGCCCGTAGCACCCATAGAGTCTAAAAAAACACAATACAAACAATCCAACTCCAAACTAGGAGAGAACCAAAAGAACCCCCTAGCTAGTGCCCAAAGCACTAGAACGGTTATATTATACAACAACAAATTATAGTTACCGTTACCATTAAATACATTATAGTTACCTCGAGGGTAAAATTTCTGTGCTTATGTACCTAAGTAACTTCATATCTCCGCATTCCTATAGGGTGAGAACCACATGGACTAGGAAGAATTTGCTTTGGAACTTGCTTTGTATAATACTTGTAGAGACAAAGAAATGTTCACTGTTCTCAGAATAGCGGGGAGTAAACCAACAAGCAGTGACGACCTTTCTCGCCTCGCAGTCCCGGAGAGCAGACTATCTAGAGTTGCCATGTATATTTCATATTTCATAAATGCGTACTTATGAAAGCGGACGTGCAATACGCCCTGGACTGCTTTCAGAGTATGTGGCCCCGTAATTTTTCTGTCCGTTTTTTGGATTTCATTCTAGATACATCATTTCCATGAGCAACATATTTCTATTCTTTAGATTCGTGTAGTTTCCGAACAAGAGGATTGCTAATTTTGCGACACAAACATGCAACTAAGCTGAGATGTGCCAGTACCACCACCAGCAGAGTTCAACCACCAGATGTTCTCGTGTTGTCGAAACATATGTTCCCTTGATATACAGCTCGGCGGAAACCAGTTGGCAATGTTAGTGATGCCTGGTTGTTGTACAACTACTTTGAATGGCGGTTGCGAAATGAATGAAAAAATATGTGTTTTAAAATAGGTATAGTATGTAGGTAGTAGTAGATTGAAATAGTATGTATTTTAAGTTTTTACTTAGTATTCCTAAAAAATTTTAACATAACACTTACTTATTTTAGAGAGTAAATATCTTTTTTTCTGTCAACATAACATTAGTTCTTTCAGATGATTTTTGATAATTTCTTCTGATTGCCTTGTAGACATGCTTTTGTTTCCTTCTGAAGATATTTTTCTTTTGACTTCTTTGGATCCAAGTTTATGCCTTGATACCATTTTTTGAATAAGGATGTATGTTATAATTATTGAAGCATCTTTTAAAGTTGAAGAGATATATATATGTGTCACAAGAAACAGGAGAATCAACATATCCATGAAAAAATGATGAGAAAAAATTATGTGATTTGTGAATCTTGGATGACGTCCATAGGAACATAGAAGTCTTTACATAAAAACCTACAATTGTTCAAAACGATTTGTGTTTCTCTCCCCCATATATACTTGGTGGCGAAACCCTAGGATTAACTCTAAATAGGATAACTAATCATAATTCTAACTCTAACTCGAGTTATTTTAACTTGAATATAATTCAAAACTTGAATTACTACTAGCACTCTCCTCCTAAACTCACATTGCGGGAACAATAATCTCCATAAATATTTATTACATGATAACTCTGGGTAAGTTCTAGAAGAAATTCTAACGTAAATTGCTCTTTGCACTATAAGTAACTAAAATTAAATTGTAGTCAAGATAATTCTGGGTAAGTTCTAGAAGGAATTCTAACGTAAACTGCTCTTTGCACTATAAGTAACTAAAATTAAATTGTAGTCAATAGAGTAAAAATATAAGAAGTTAACAAATTTTGCTAGTAAATTCTCCTTGTGATTTTCATTCAAAACTTGCATAATAACACAATGTTTCATACATTTTTTTGAAAAAATTATTATTTTTTAACACATTAGTTGGATTAAAACTTTAGTTAATCTTAATTAGCTCAATACTTCTATCACACACTTTATCTTTTATAAGTTAATACTTGATTTTGATATATTTTTATCTTATTTTTCATCACTTGATTTGCAACAAGTTGTAAGGTACTTTGACTATTGTATTAAAGATTAACCTTATTTTTTATTCTCAGCTCCTTGATAAATTTATTCCCTAAATAACTTATTTTCTTGCTTCTATTGCTTATACATATTCCACTTGTGTTGTGAATTAAATTATGTTTTTGCAAAGTAGATTTCCAACTAATGCATCTATCATCAAGTATAACATGTATCTAGTTGTAGATTTTGTTTTGTCTAGATGCTTAACATAATCAACATAAACAAGCAATGATTTGACATTGTTCAATGAATCATCAAAAAATATGTTATATTCTTTAGTATCCTTCATGTACATGATAATCCATTACATTACTTCCCAATGCACATTCCTTGGTTTAACATGTACATGTTCACCTTGTACATGACTAAAGCAACAATAGGCTTTGTGTACAACATCAAATATATGAACCCGTATATAGTTTTGTCATAGGAAATTCATAATATCTTTTTCTTTTCAATGTCATCATTTGGATATTGAACTGTGAAAATTTGAAATATGATGTCAAAAGATTCCATACTCCTTTACAGAATATTATTTTAAACATGTCAAGCACACGTTGAACTTAGTTGACTTGATTCAATCATAAATTATTCTTCATCACATTACTATGAATATTCATAGTCAATATACTCCTGGATTTATCCAATTTTTTAATCTTTAATGCAAACTTCAACAAGTTCTTGCATTTGTCAACGTCCAATAGGTTGTTTGCCAAGATGAGCATGTCATACATGAAAAATACTAGAATATTAAAATTGAATATCTGATTATTCATCTTCTTCAGATATACACAAAAATCAAACACACTCTCTGAAAAATCTTGTGTTTACATGAACTCATCAATTATTTCATTCCACTACCTAGGAGCTTGCTTCAATTAGATATAACGATCTCAATAATCTACAAATCAATGTCTCTTGATCTTTTTTCTTAAAGCCAACTAGTTGTTTCATGTATATTTACACCTCTAGAAATTCATAAAAAATAATGTTATTACGTAAATGTAATTCATAACAAGACTAAATATTGTAGCAAGTGCACATAGCAGCTTAATTGTAGAATATTTTAATAAATGTGAGAAAACTTCGTTGCACTTAACATTTTTTTTCTTGTGTGAAACCTCTAGCCACCAACTTGGCTTTAAAGATATTAATCCTGTCATGAGCTGGATTGTAATTTAGTTTAAATATTCATTTGCAATAAATCAAAGTTTGATTCTCTGGAAGTTTCACTAGCTTCATGTCTTCTTATCAATAAGCGACTTCATCTTTTGTTTCGTAGCAGCATTTCACTCAAGCTTATTGATAGAAGCTTAAACTTCTCTATAAATAAAAGAGGTTTCTATTTCTTCCAAGATCAACACAATATCATCGTCATCTTCTTTATCAATATCACAATCTTCAAGAATGGATGTATAAGCACATAATTCATATCTTGCATGAATTTTATTAAATCAATTTGATGATCTTTCAGTAGACAATTTTAATTAACCTCTATCATCTAGAGCAGATACTTGATGTTCATCAAGAATAAACTCTTTGTCTAATTTTTTTTGTTTGATAGTCTGCTTAATTTGTACAAGAATTTTCAATGTCACATCATTAATCACATAATGATCAATTTTACTCTTAATATCATCCTTGAGTGTAAGTTTATTCTTGTCGGTATGTGAAGCATGAGAACGCTACTCTTCTTTCAATGATCTAAGCGCATTAAAAGAAAACATATTTGTTGATAATAGCTTTACAAGCTAATGGATCTTATAGGCTATAACCCTTTACATCACTAGCATATTTAAAAAAAAACTACACTTTTGAGATGTATGATGTAACTTGATATTATTCTCCTTATGTATGAAAGTATAACCTATACAACAATAATTTTCAAACAATTATAATCAACCATCCATTTGTGACTCAATTTAAACAATGTCAAGATAATGATGACATTAAAAAAAAGTTATCAAATATATTGCGATATGAACAATTTTAGTCCTAAATTCATATGCTAAATCAAAATGTCTCAACATATAACACAACTTTTCTAACATTATTTGATTGAAACTCTCAAAAATAACATGTTATTGTAGAGTATAAACGATGATGAAATGAGAAATTATTTATACTCTTTGCAGTTATTCTAAATTTTTTGAAAAGTATATTTTTTGCCAAATTTTGTAGACAAATTTTGTATATTTTTCCATCTTCTCTCCTTTGGATTTCCAACTTTTGAAAGTTGTAAACAACTTAGACTTGTGTGTGAAAGAATAAATCCATACGAATCTTGAGTAAGCATCAACAAATGACACATAGTAAAACTTTCTAGTGAGTGAAGCTTTTGGAAAGTATTTTCACACGTCATTATGCATTTCTCAATCAACTTTTTGGAACTTTGAAATCCAACATCAAAGACTTGACTATAATGCTTGTCCATTATACAATATTTGCAAAACTCTAAGTCAATCTAAGTGAATCTGATCTATGTCAGATAACAATTTTCTATTGTCTAGGAGACGTATGTATCTTTTACTCATGTGATCTAGTTTAGAATGCCAAACATGAGACATCTCAATTCAAGATTTACTGAAGCTAATTTCACAACAGATAATAGTGCTCTCTTATAAGTATAGATTATAGTAGTTATAACCTCTAGAGATAATCTTATCATGTATTCTTGCCTCAAACATTTCATTCTTAGAGCTTGACTTAAATCCTTTCAAATCTAATATTACAAGAGATATAATATTTTTTCATATTGGGTATATGACTTGAATCAATCTCTGTTGTACTCCATCAAATATTTGAATATAAATTTAATACAAATCCAGTACCTTCAATCCTATAAGATGGATCATTCTTCATATGAAATGAACCGTTTGATAATGGAAAAAATACCAAATAATCCTCTAATATAACAAATGTGATAATAACAAGCATTATTTAAAACCATACATCACCAATAATCTTTGATAAATTGCATTTGAACTAAACCTTTCGATACTTA